TCAGACTGCTTGTGCCAAACGTGGCACTACCCGGCTGTACCCAAAGTGCTCCTGGGTCTCTGCAGATGTCACACTGTGAGATCTGCCTGCATGTTCCTCTCACTCATTCCTGTAACCTTCTTTGAAATTGTTGTCTTACAAGTAGCTGGGAGCTGAAAGCTTGCAGCTGAGCCTGTTCTCATCATCCACAACTGCAGGGGGGAGGATGCTGAATTTGCTTCCTGATGAGTGACATTGAGGCACAGGACTGAAGGATTGGATCCACATCCCATAATCCCACTCTTGATGAGCACCTTGGTGCTGCTCTTTGTAGATCTGTATGTTATAATAGGCCACATTATGCTAAATAGAACGTTACGTTATACAGAATGTATTACGTATTTGTTATATATTTAATATAATTTATTTTACTTATACACATGAAGCCAAACAAATCTGAGTTGGTGAGGAACAGTTCTGCTGAAGTCAGTGGCTTTATATTGTATGGAACTGGTGGTAAGAGAGCAGTGGAAGCTGCAGGTATTGGCCAGAGTGGAACCATAACCTTTGCAGAGCCTTTGCAGAAAGTGCTTGAGAAGTTGAGCTGCCCCTGCCCATCTCAAAACCTGCCCTGTTCCCTGGGGCAGGGGCAGAGTGATCCATTCTTGCAGCGCTGTTACTTCACCTCAACCTCCTCCAAAGTGCACTTCCATAACTCAAGCACAGAGGGGAAAAACCAACAGCCAAACTGCAAAACATTTAAAACGGTGGCGTTACATTTTCCCTTCGCAAATTCTTCTATTTCTTCTGTGTTCTACAAAAAAGAAATGCAAAAGCCTCCTTTTAATTAAGCTCTTTATCCTTTGAAGTTATTTTGGACTTTTTTTTTCACATTGGTGATGTAATTTATGTAAATAATCATCTATCTATGAAAGGAGTGTGTCTGTCAAAAGCTGAAATAAAAAACATCCGTCATTTTGAAGTGATTAACATTCTCCAGATGTTTAAATCATCAGATTTCAGAAGTTTTCCTTTGTTGTGATAATGATATAGTATCCAGAACAAGAATGTTTACTTTTTGTAGGGGTCAAACATAGATTTTTCACAATCCTATTAAAGCAAGCAGTTTATTGTAATTGTATGTGCAGATGAAAGCATATGCAGTTATTATTATTTCCCTTAATTGTAAACTGCTGCTGGTAATTTTACTGTAAAGCTGAAACAAAAGGAACATACTTGAAAGGACCACCACTGCCCACTTATGTAATCAATTTATAGATGTCAAGTTTGTACCAAGATGGTTATCCCTCTCCCTCGAAGGCCCGGTGACAGGCTACCACCCTGCAGCGCAGTCTCTGCGCTGGGGGCTGCCGGGGAGCACAGGAGATGTAGCTGATAATGATTAGTGACAGCTCTGAACCACTGCACTCCGAATGTGCTCAGCATCATGCTGCAGGGAGGAAGTGAGACACACATTCCTTCCTGGTGCTGGACCTCGTGGCTGACCAAGAGAATTTTGCCTGTCCTGCACTGGCCAGCCCACTGTGGTGACTGTAACCACAGCAGCTTGATGTAAGGAAAAGGAGGGGTATAATCTTGGAAAAGGGGTACATGTGAAAAATGGACCGTTTCCTTTTGCTCACATAGTCCTTGCAGAGCAACACCCTTCAATTCTTAAAATTGGCCAACACACAAGACATGTGTGGATCTGACAAGTCACCCCACTGGCAAACTCTTCAGAGATGACAAAATGCAACTGGCGAAATCTCTGAGTGGGCTGATGGGTAACACCAACTGGCCAACCTTCTTCAGTGTTTTTTTTAACCAGAACCTCTCCTGAAATATAAATTTAGGAAAAAAAAAAAAAAAATCCCTGGAAAAATACTAGATAGTTGTTCCACACAAATAACCACAGCATCTACCCCAAGATTTCAACTGGACTGAAACTTTAACTAAGGATTGTTCAAAATATAACATTTTTTCAGTTGATGGAAGGTTCTTGTCAGATAAGCAGATGCACCCTGCGGGAATGTTGCAAAGACAGAGGCAAGCTGGCCCTGTGACCACTGCTGCTCTCTGCCCCCAGTCTCCCCTCAGGAATGGTTTTGGGGCCATCCCCTCTCTGGCTTCAAATGAGCTGTTCTTAGAAAGAGACACAACCTGTTGGAGCAGTTTCTTCTGTGTCCCACCCAGAGGAGCTGGTGGCTGGTGGCTGATGGCTGATGTTAGTGATGCACTAGACCCTCCAAAGAGACATTTTGAAAAACATGTCTGAGGAATAGGTGAGTTACAGACATGCATTAAATACCTGTTCTGCTGCATTTGCAGTTTCCAGCACCAGGAAATATTAGTTCTTTTTCCACTGCCTGTTTTTGCACACAGTCAACAGGACTAGCCTTTTAATGCAGCATCACCTCACATCCCATCACATTACATGGTAAATGTTACATCAATTTTCATGGCATTACGTGGCACGACCTGGCCCCTGTGCTCCCAGGGCCTATCACACCACTGTAGCTGGGGATTTGGTGCATTTCCATTTTCCGTGGTTGTAGGATGTGCTGGTGGCCCGTGAAGTGTGTTTTACTGGATTAGCTGATGTGGTTCCTGCCTGCAAATGGACTATGAGGCAAAAGTCAGCTATTTCAGAGCAGTAGCAATTAAAGGAAAGAGGTCTATGTGCGTGGCTTCCTGCAGGTGTGCTGATGTGCTCCTGAGTCCAAAGCGCTGGCAGGCTCTGTGGCTGGACTGGAGCAGGGTGGCCCTGGTGCTGCTCTGCTGCCTTTTCTGCACAGGTTCCACTGGCTGCCACCAGCCTGGGGAGCCAGGGTGAGCCCTGGGGTCTGCAGGGCACCAGCTCCCTCAGCTGTGCTTCTCACCTCCGGAGACAGCTTGGGAGGAGCTCTAAAGTACAGTATGCTAGCAAAACAGGTAACTTCTGGAAATAAATGGTATAAATACAAATTCTTGGCTAAACTCTGAGTTTCAGGCAAACTAAACTCAACTCCAGCACGCAATCACCCATCAGTGCTTCTGGCTTACTTCAGTCCTTAAGCAAATTACTTCAACCCTATTTTTCATATAACTGCAGATCTGATATGTACATAGAGCCAGATGACAACCAGCCAGCTTCATCTGCCTTCTTTCAACTTCATACTTGGAACTAAAGTTCACACAATATTTTCAGAGATATCCATCCCCCCTCATCCCCCCTCAAAAAAAAAAAAAAAAAAAGCAAAAGCATGAGGAAGGCAATGGGAAGATAAAAGACAAACACAAAATGCAGCTCACTTAAAAATATCTCTGCTTGATGGAGGCTAAAAGGTGGCAGCTGTGCCAAAGTAGTGGACCCTAAATCGCTGAGCAAAAAAGAGCAGGGAAGACTCTGATTGCTCCCAGTACTGTGGTGAATGTGTGCTCTCAGCCACAAATCAAGCAAGCTAAAAAAAAAAAAAAAAAAAAAACCAACCCGGAAAAAAAAGACTCAATCAAGGCAATAATGGCCTCCACTTCACAATCAGACAAGTGCTTCTACTTCAGAAATCCTACCATTTATGGCTGATTGCTAACCCTGGCCTCATTTCTAATCTAAAGGGTGAGTAATAATTTGGAAAAGGAATTATAACAACTTCCCAGCCATTTTGTAAATTGTCATTACTTTAAAGGGGTGTTGGGGAGCTGTTGCTGTTTGTCAGATATTTTTTTCCTGCTAGCGCTCTCCTACTTCCATCACCCCTTTTCTCCTTGATCTCATACTGGAAGGGAAGTAATTTACAGTGGAAATAGGTAAGAAAGAAAAGCCTGGAGGGATCCTCTGGCCGTGGAACTCTGACGTGTAGAAGTTAACATGAAGCACAGGAAAGGGAAATGGCTCTTCCCTTTGCCCAGAGATTGATGCAGGGATCAGGGGTGCTGATCTGAGCACTGTTCCCAGCCCAGGGGTTGGGACTGTGCGAGTTCCCTAGAGTGGAAACCTTCTGCATTGGGAACTTCCCAAAGGAAAGGATGAGGGCCACCCGTGTAGGTGGATGGATGGTGCTGGGGTGCTGGTGCAGTGAGAGCCTGCTGCCCACCTGACACCTCAATGCAGCCATGCTGGCCTTTGGCCTCCCCTGGCCCAGGGCCACCCAGCTGGATGGAGCTGGTGCTTTGCTGTCCCAATCCTGCCTGGACTGTCTGGAGTAGGCAGAGAGACAATAACTATTTGACCCATAGGTTATCCTGATGGGAAGGACCTGATGGAACCCTGAGCTGCATTTATTTCCTGGTTCAAGCAGGGAGAACTGCATCTGGAAATATTTCAGTCTTTATGTGAGTATTTTTTCCCATCTTCTGCAAGTCTATTGTGATTTTCACATGCACATCAGAGTTGATCTTAGAGGTTATTCCAACCAAAGCAATTCTGTGATCCTAGGGTTTTCTAGGGAGAAAATATCAAAACAGAGGACTTGGACAATGTTCCTTCTGGCCATCACCTGTGAGGGCCACAGCTGCCCTGGACAGGTCTAAGGACTTTGCCTGGTGCTGCTGTCCTCAATGACAGTGTGTATAAAAACAGATAAAACTTGATGGAGAAAAAAGTATCAGGGGGGACCTGTGCTGGAGAAGACTGTGCACAGCTTCACTTGGGTTTTATCTATTCTAATCCAGTGGAAATCATGACGGTGTTTTGATATGAGCAGACATTTGTGATCAAAATACCTCTTATTTCAATGATTCAAGGACAAAATGGGATGCTATTGTCTCCCTGGATGAACGTGAGATGTTTTGTGAAAGGTACGATCAGTGTGTTTGGAGAATGACAAAATTTCCTTCCTATCTTGGGAGGTAACTGCAGCACCAGCTGTGCTGCACTGAGTCCCTTACTCCTGGTTTATGCTGTGAAGGGATCTGTGTCACAGTTATTTATGTCTGTATTTTAAATATGATTTGAAAAGAGACTGATTCAAAAATTTTCAATGACCCAGTGAAATCTGAACTGCTTATAGCAAGACAAGAAGTATAATGCTTCAATCAAAATAGCAACTTGGAATGTGTTTTATTAAACAGAGTTCATTTAATACTACCCCAGAGTGCTGTGGATGTGAAAACACATTCTTGAATTGGAACTTTCATATCTAGGTAATAGGAATGAAGGGAAAATTGTCATTTTTAATATTGTACATTTTGGGACAAATTCTGATCTCATATACAACTACCCACAGCATTTCTGAATTTTTTCCAAATTCTGAATATTTTCCAAAACTGGTGTGTCCCTGGATCGTGTATGTCACTACAAGGTGAATACGTTACAGGAAAAACAAGTAGACCCTGCACAGAGCTCTAAGTAAAATCCTAGCAGATTTAGTTTCCCCATCATTCTCTTTGCAGTATTTTCAAGGCGTTTCAAATGAGACAGAACATAACAAAGCTCAGGCTAAGTGCGATTGAAGAAAACCCTGAAATAAGGCATCAAGGAATGCAAAGTAAGAGAAAAAAGTGGATTGTATGTATAAACTCTGGGTGCATTTCCTTTGTAAATATCCTTGATTTTTGCTAGCAATGCTACGCAAAAATATTTAAATGAGCAGATTATAAAAGAGCAGTGCTGCCCGTGTAACATGGATGCCGAATCTGTCGAGGACGAGCAGTTGGGAAGTGATGGGACCATTTATATCTCCATTAGTGGAGGATTGCTGATCATCCCAAGGAAATCAGGTTTTTCCTTGCCAGCTGCTCAGCTTTTCGGGAGTTTAAATGGCTTCTGCTATCAGCACAAGGGCTGGCTTCTCCCGGCCGCCGGGCGAGCTCCCCGGCCCCGACTCCCGGCGCGGGGAGCGGGACCGGCGGCTGCGGGGGCTCAGCGCTCGTTCGGTGCCCACATCTGGGGTCCCGCCGCCGCCAGGCACCCCCGGGACACGGAGCCGAGGAGGGACTGGCGGACCAGGGCAGGCGCGGAGAGCTATGAGATAAAACAGAACTTACGAGGTCCTTATTTAGAGAAAGGAAAAAATCCTGTTCTGTTCACACGGAGGAACTCCGGTGCCTGCATGAATGAATTCTCCCCCGCCGCTGGTGCTGGTCGTGCCGGCACCTTCCCGCTATGCCTGAGTCCCGAGACAGAGGGAGGGTGCCAGCCGAGCGCCGAGGGGACGTGCCGAGCATCGGGCTCTGCCCGCGCAGCACCGCGCCCACCGCCCGGCCCGGCCCGGGCACAGCGGGGGTGCCCTGCAAGCACCTACCAGCCAGCCTCTGAGCTGGCAGAGCTACTCTGCAAAAGTCACAATTACAGCTACGAAACCTGACTTTGAGAAAAATAGTTCTCTTCTCTCGGGATCCTGCAGAAAATGAAAACAAGCTTTTCCCCTCCAGTATAAAATTGACCAAACAAAACAGCATATCTGCTCAGGTGCCATAAATAAATTGCATTCAGAATGCAGAACAAGATCTTTCATGTAATCTCTGTATGGAATTTGGGTGTCAGTCTCTGATTTAAGGGAAAAAACCCAAAAAAACAAAACACAAAACACTGAGAATTTTCTGACCTTGATCCCACGTAGCTGCCTGCTGTCAGCACAGCATGTTTGACATCAATTCTTACCAGCTTTGTTTTCTCCTGGTGTGAAGAAACGAAGTGTGATTTCCTGAGCAGCTCAGGAAATTTTGGTATTTATATAATTTTTAAAGACACAAATTTTTTTAAGACATACCTTTTCAAAGGTTCTCTCACAGAACACCCAGCATATTCCCCTGGGGTACTTTCAACTATGGGTAGATCAGAAGTGAAACATTTCCCACAATATCCAACTACGTAATATCAAATTCACAAGATATTACAAAGTAATTGTGTATTTTCAGTAACCAAAAGTACTGAAGAGCTGCTAAGCCTCCAGTGCATGATACATTTAATATGATAAATTAAAAAAACTTGAGACTGATTAAATTAAATTGAGACTTGGTTAAATTCAAGTGAAGCTCTGGCAGGAGTGGAAGCTGGGAGGTGCAAAGCCACCCTGGTCTGGAGAGGTTCAACCCATGTGCAAACTCATGATTTCACTGCACTCTGCAGCTGTTACTGCTACGCTCTTGTGAACCATGTTAAGTATCTGTATTTCAGAGGAACTGTTGCAAGCGAACACTTGGGCTCCTGACATCTGTGATTTGCATGTACAGAATTATCCCAGTGAATGGGTCAACTGACTCTGTGCCCAAGTGCACGGATGTGCTGGGGAGCACAACTGGCTCGGAACCTGTGGCACAGCCACAGGGAATGCTGCGGTGCTGATTTAAGTAGTTTCCTGGTGTGGATGTGAAATGCTATGGGGTGAAAAATGACAATCAGTTCCTGGAGTGACTGAACCCACCTGCCTCCCCTGAAAAACTGAGTGCACATGGAGTGAAATTGTAATTTAAAAAAATTTAACACAGTGAGAGCAAGTATAAAAATACCTTTTAGATTAATTAAGTGGCTAAGCAAACTTCCAAATGATGAAGATTTGACAGTTTTAGGAGTCTTGTTGCTTATTGGTGAATTTCCCTGCAGCCACAACCCCCAGAATCCCCTTTTCAGGGGTGCTGCCTCCAGCTGCCTCTGGATGCTCTGCCCAACTGCTGCCTGTGCTCTGCATATTGACAACCCAACAGACTCCCATACAGCAGCTGGAAATAAAACACAGCTTGACGAAATTAACCTCAAAATGAGCTGGTGGCGCTTGGGTGAGTGTGGGGCAAGGTGTAAGGGCACTGGTGCATGGATGAAGGTGATGCTGGTCCCAGAACAGTGTCAGGGTGGTGAAACCTCCTCAGCCTCACCCTCTGCAACCTTGGATGGGGTGCAAAAAAAAAAAAAAAAAAAAAAAAAAAAAAAAAAAAAAAAAAAAAATCAGAAAAATGTTGCAAAAACTGTTCTACATACTGAAATAACATGTTTCCCTGATCCTTCTCTGTTTGTCTTGTTGTAGGGTCAGTCTTCAATAATTGGCGATGATGGGAATAAAGTAACAAGATGCAAACAGGGTAACATTTTTGTGTTAAGATGCCAAAAAGTCTTCCTGAATTTTTAATAATTTTTCAGAGGAATGTGGGTCAGTTTCTGACAAACTGTATTTCTCAGAATGCAAATACTGTAGTGCTGTTACAAAGGGTGAGTGTTTGGGCTGTTACAGGGTCTGTGGGCACTGCTTCTGGTTGGTGCTGGTGTCATCGTCCCTTGAGACATATCCAACAGACCAGCGCCAGACATTTTAAGAAATGTCACATGCAGAGGAGGGTTCAGACTATTCTGAACAAACTCCCTAAATCCATAAGCAACAACTACCTCCTCTGTGTGCCCCCCAGGTGGTGAAGAGGGATCTGCAGGAACAGTGAGACTCCCAGCAGTGGGAATGGCAACAGGGGTTCCCCAGGGCTTTGCTAAGGCAGCAGGTTGGGGAGGACCCTCTGCATGGAGGCAGATGTTGCTTTGTGTTGATGGAAGCCCTGGGGTTTCAGTTCAGCCCAGACAGGCAGTTGACCCTCAGAGTGGAGAGAAAGGTCTGTGGAAAATGGTGACTGCAAAGGTGTGTCACAAGCCTGCAGCCACAATGCTGCAGTAACACCTGTGGCAGAAGCCATGTCCCCACACATGAGGAGTTGCTGTGCTTTGCCCTGGCTGCTCCCACCACCTGCCTGTTGCCCCGTGGGCTATGGGACTCCAGTTTTGCTCACACAGCTCCTGGCCAGCAGCTCTGCACTATTAGAAATTATGCCCCTGAGTTGAGTCATACTTTAACCAGTCCGCCCAAACGCACACAAGGTCTGAGACCGGTGCACACAGGCTGCTTTGGAAGGTTTCTGTGGAACTCCCACCACGTGCATTGGTTGTCTCACAAGCGGATGGTCTTCAGTCTTCAATGCTTGTCTTCCCCTTCCTGATGAAGAAACCTGCAGAGCCAGCTGGCTCTGCAAAACCCAGGAAGCTGGAAGTGAAAGGCAGCCACAGAGAACACAGTGAAAAGCTGCAGCAAACCAGTTATATCTGGGGTAACTGATGGAGTACCACTTTGTTAATTCAACTGCATACTTTAAAAACCCCCAAAACATTCTACAGTTTGTTCTCTGTGTCCTGTAGTTACACCTGCTCACTATTAATTACCTTTTTTTCTGGTCAATATCCATGAGAGTATTACTACTTGGAGCACAGGAGTATATAGATCTCTCAAAAAGAGCATTACAATAAAGTTTTTCAGTTTGCCATTTGCTTTCAAATGTCTTAGTCTATATCATGATTTCAGCGAACAGACCAAGACTGTTTTCAGTATCATCATGGGGTTCCAGCTCTCTGCTGGGCTCAGCCTGTTCCTGAGCAGTCTGTCTCTTTCTTCTGCGTACGTACACAGAGTGGCTCTTCTCTGGCCCCTCGGGAAAGGTGTCTGCAGGCACACACAGCTTCTGCAAGGTGTCTGCAGCTTCCAGAGCCCGCTCCAAGCCTTTGTGGAATCTAGACAGAAACAATTCTTATAGACTTGCTCAGGATCTGCAAATTACTCTGAGAAACTAATGCTTTTAGAATGCAACCAAAACATGCAAGGGGAGAAAAGTGGTTACTAACATTTTACTTAATACTGAAGAAAAATTAGATGTCATGAACAGAACGGGTGTAGTCTTACAAACCTGTCAATCCTCCTTATGTTTTCTTCCATTTTCTGATTGGCTACATGTACCAGAAATTCAATATATTCTTCGGAGACCATCAATCTCCCTTTGTGGCTCAATGGAACTTCTAAGCAGTGAGTGCTCCGCACAGCCTAAAAACACACACATGATTGACCTGGAATAAAGTTTTTTAGTTTATGAAGGTTATTTAAATAATGTAGGGAGTTCATTATAGTAAAAATCCTGCTTATCCATACAATTATTTAGGTTACTGTCACCTAAAGCAGCAAGCTATTTCTTTGCTATAGCATGCCCCGTGACAGCTCTTAAGCACCAGTCAGGTCTTGGCTCGTACAAAAATCAAGGTTAACATAACAATATCACTTCATTACACCCCTTACAGTAACAGAGTCCTTACCATTGTAATTTTTCCTCCTCTGCCAACTGTAATACCAGAGTTTCTGAACCCAGAGTCAATAGCCACTGAATGCTGCAGAAAAAATAAATGCTTAAACAGGTCTTGTATACTTGCACAGCAAAAAATATTTATGGACCCATTGCAATGCAACATACAATCTCAATTTTGCAAAAAACATATTCAAATCATCTACCCAGACTTATTCAAAAATAGTTCCATTAAAATACTTTCTAAGATCAAACCCAGAAATGGTGGGTGGATTTCCAAGGCCCACAGTGGATCCTGATTGAATCCATCAGTGCAGAAGGGGTGTAACATCTCTCTAGGCACTGAACTACTTTATCCCAATGAGCTGGAGCTTCACAGAGAGTCGTGCTACCCCTTGACAACGACCAGTGCAGCTGCACTCTGCATGAGCCCCTCAGCTCCTCTGCACTACCGCCAAAACAAGCCCAGCACGGCACACATTGCTCTCTAGAAAAGCAGAAGGCAAAAGCATCATTCAAGGCACTGGAAATGGAGCCAAATGGCCTGGCTGGCAGCGAAGTACCATCTAAAATCCAGCCCTTGCCGCCAGTGAGAGCAGCCCAGGCCCCTCAGGTAGTGCTTCATGCAGCAGTCTGCTTCAGCTCAAAGCCTGAACTGCTGGTGAGTCTTTTTTCTTTCTAAGTACAGTAAAACCCTCACCAACTTTACAGCTCTGTTTTTCCATCAGCTTACCTTACTACCCTAATTATTAGACACACAGCACATCTGGGACTGTTTCTAAGTGCAACTGCTTACCCAGGAGCCAATACTTTTATTTTTGCAGGCAGGAATGTAACAGAACAATGCCACATTGTACTTGATGTGGCTTTACCAGCAGCTGTGCATCCTGCAGCCCCCGACACAGCACATGAAGAACAAATGGCTCAAACTTGAACACAACATCACCAGTGGCTTTCTTCAGTGCTGCCATCTGGAAAATACACCAAAATATGTATATAAAAATCAGAGTACTTCCTCTCGTAAGAGTTAACAACACCCCACTGCATCCTCCTTGGCCTGCAATTTTAGCAAGCTTTGCTTTGCTGGAACAAATACTAATGAAAACAAATATTCTGGAGGTCACGTCTGTGCTTGTGTGAGAATATATATCTATGGTAAAGTGAATTATGACTTGAGTGAGAAAATGCTGATCTTGCAACTGCCTCTTTTGTGGGACAAAGCAATATATAAAAAGACTAGATTATTTTGAAAGCATACTAAAAATGAAAAACTTTGCACTATAGATGTTTTTAATTTCAGGAGATTTAATGACAGTAAATTAAGAATGCAAAATTCCCTGTTACACCACTTTCAGGTGTCTGTCTGCTAACACAGCAAGCTGGGCTCAAGAGATTTTTTAATTCAAGAGTTTTAAATATTACTCCAGACAGGAAAAAATTATACAGGTTTCTGGAATATCAGCTGCCTTTATAACTATGCAGAGAATTTGATACTGAGTTTAAAAGCATTCTCTTAAAATGGGTCTGAAGAATTTATTAAGCAACACATCTAAGGAAAAGTTAATTTTGAGAGTAGAGTAACAATTCATCTCAGTAGCAGGAATAAAAACCCTTTGACATGCTGTGTTTTCCATGACACCAGGAGCATTTCCACGCACAAATATAAAGGCTGTATCTCACTGTGCCCTTACCACATCGCCTTTGACACATGGGTCATGTGTTACCAGGAGCCACGTGCAGTTCTTCTTCTGGATCCCCGTGCCGTCAGTGTCCTAGTGATGGGCAGAAACCATTAAAGTGCCTGGGCAGCCCAGTGGGTTTAACTTTGTGCTGCTACAGAAACGGTCCTTGGAAATAAAGGAGCATCTGCTTGAAGCAAGGGCCCATTCACAGCGCGACCAGACCCACCGTCACCATCACCCTGCAGGTCCCATACCGCACCCACCGTCACCATCACCCTGCAGGTCCCATACCGCACCGACCGTCACCATCACCCTGCGGGTCCCGTCCTGCACCCACCGTCACCATCACCCTGCGGGTCCCGTCCCGCACCCACCGTCACCATCACCCTGCGGGTCCCGTCCCGCACCCACCGTCACCATCACCCTGCGGGTCCCGTCCTGCACCCACCGTCACCATCGCCCTGCGGGTCCCGTCCCGCACCCACCGTCACCATCACCCTGCCGGTGCCACCCCGCACCCACCGTCACCATCACCCTGCAGGTCCCATACCGCACCCACCGTCACCATCACCCTGCAGGTCCCATACCGCACCCACCGTCACCATCACCCTGCAAGTCCCGTCCTGCACCCACCGTCACCATCACCCTGCGGGTCCTGTCCTGCACCCACCGTCACCATCACCCTGCGGGTCCCGTCCCGCACCCACCGTCACCATCACCCTGCAAGTCCCGTCCTGCACCCACCGTCATCATCACCCTGCGGGTCTCGTCCTGCACCCACCGTCACCATCGCCCTGCAGGTCCCGTCCTGCACCCACCATCACCATCACCCTGCGGGTCCTGTCCTGCACCCACTGTCACCATCACCCTGCAGGTCCCGTCCTGCACCCACGGTCACCATCACCCTGAAAGTCCCGTCCTGCACCCACCATCACCATCGCCCTGCAGGTCCCGTCCTGCACCCACCGTCACCATCACCCTGCGGGTCCCGTACCGCACCCACCGTCACCATCACCCTGCCGGTGCCACCCCGCCGGTCCCTCACGCACCATCACCACCGCCCTGCCGGTGCCACCCCGCCGGTCCCTCACGCACCATCACCACCACCCTGCCGGTGCCACCCCGCCGGTCCCTCACGCACCATCACCACCACCCTGCCGGTGCCACCCCGCCGGTCCCTCACGCACCATCACCATCACCCTGCCGGTCTGTCCCGCACCCACCGTCACCACCGCCCTGCCGGTGCCACCCCGCCGGTCCCTCACGCACCATCACCACCACCCTGCCGTCGCACGAGCTGGCGCTGCAGAAGCACTCGCGCGCGTTCAGGAGCCGCACGAGCTCCGCGGCCCGCGCGTCCAGCGCGCGCTTCCGGCTGGGGTCGGGCCGCGCCAGCCACTGCGCCTTGCGCCGCGCGAACGCCGCCATCGCGGGGGGACGGCGTCCCGCCAAGGACAAACCTCGGCGCACCCGAGCGGCGCGGCCCCGCCCAGCTCCGCACCCGCCGCGGCGCTCCGCAGGTACCGGCGGGCGCGGGGGCTGCGCGGCGCTGGCCCGGGGGGACGGGACGGGACGGGGACACAGCGGCTCTGCGCTACCCGCGCCAGGCGCCACAGCCACGGGACGCGGCTCGAACAGCAGGGCCCGGTCACAAGGAGCGCTTCCGGGGCACGGCCTGGCCGCGAGGCGGTGCAAGGGGCGGGGCCTGGCCGCAGAGGCGTGCTTGTAGGCGGGGCCCGCGGCGCAGGTGTGTTTGTGGGCGGGGCCCGCGGCGCAGGTGTGTTTGTGGCGGGGCCTGGCGGCGCAGGTGTGTTTATGGTGGGGCCTGGCGGCGCAGGTGTGTTTGTGGCGGGGCCTGGCGGCGCAGGTGTGTTTGTGGCGGGGCCCGCGGCACAGGTGTGTTTGTGGCGGGGCCTGGCGGTGAGCGCGTGTCACGGGGCGCGTCCTGTCGGGGTGCGTCCGGTCGTGGCTCGTCGCGCCGGGACCGCATCGTGCCGGGTACGGCCCTGGCCGCTCTTAGCCGGCGGTGGCCCCGCGGGCCCCGGCTGTGCCCAGGATCCCGGAAGGTGCTCCCAGCGGGGAGGCCCGGAGCAGCTCGGAACCTTCCCCTGCCCCCGCTCCCTCCCCTGCCTTCCCCGGTTCGGTTCATTACCGCGGGATCGATCCGCGCTTCGCCCCGCGGTGTGTGCCGTGTTCCCGGCGGTGCCCGCAGGCCAGCTCCTGGTGCCTCAGGCTCCCTGTGACTTCTACAGCTACCCGGGCTCTCATTGTTTCTTCTAGCGGATCCTCCGGTCGCCATGGCAGCCACCAGGCGTGTGATGACAGCTGTCCGAGTGTTTGAATTTGGTGGCCCTGAAGTGCTTAAACTCCAGTCAGATGTGTTAGTTCCTGTTCCAAAAGAAAACCAGGTATATGTGAGCTCTCTGAAGGAAAATAGTGATAATTAATGTTAACTGTAGGACATTTTAACAATTAATGTTAACTGTAGGACGGAGTGAGAGATACCACCCAGAACCCTACACCTAGAGTACCTGAGTTTTGGTCAGTGTGTTCATACTGCTTGAGATGTCTTGCTTAACAAGTGTGGGCTCTTTACTCTGCCGTGGGCTGTATGTTCCACATCAAGATTTCCCTGAAATTAGCTTCACTTTGAACACTGGGTTGTCACAGAGGCTGTTTGAGAATTCAGTAAAAATGCTACAACGCCATGCTGTGAATTCAAGGGCTATATCTTTTTAGTTATTGCTTAAGAAGTGTCTTTTCTTTTAGGTGTTAATTAAAGTCCATGCCTGTGGGGTGAATCCTGTTGAGACGTACATTCGTTCTGGGACTTACGCCAGGAAACCGCCTTTGCCCTACACTCCTGGCTCGGATGTGGCTGGGGTGATTGAGAGTGTTGGGGAGCACGTGACTGCATTCAAGGTATTTACACGCTGGGTAGAATTCACTATTGTTTCATGGTTCTCTTTGCTTGGTTGCTGTGCCACTCTACCTGGTTTTGTTGCTTATGATCATGGAATCCCTTCAAGGGGGAAAGCCCTTCACGGGCTGGTAAAAGCACACAGTGGGATCCCATTGGCAAGCCAGTCCTGCTGGTGGGACTGTGAGGAATGCTGTGCCCCCCTGAAGCTCAGAGGTCTCAGAAGAGGCACTGCAGTCTGTCTGCTTAAAGTAGTGATATCTGGTGTACAAAAGTTGGGGTTTGGAGCTATTTTTCTGGCATTGCAGAAAAAGTTGAGATTGGATACTTTTTTCTGGGGGTAGTGATTTTAGGCAGAACTGAGAATTATTCTGTAAAGTACTTGAGAAATGGAAATTTCTTACTTATAAAGCTCCATAAATTCTGTTATTTGTTGCTAAAATTGTTCAAATCCTGTATTACTCCAGTCTAGTAATTTCACTTGGATTTCTCAGTGGGAAAGTCTCGGGACAGGAGAAGACAAATATCAATTTGCTAAAAGATATCTATGACATCACATTGGTTTCTAAATTGGTTCTCCCATTTAAGTCATTAGACATTTGGTCCTGAACCAACATAAAAATTGTAGGTAAAACTGGGCTGGAATTTCCTGATTTAGAATTTATGTAACAATTTTGGGAGATCTGAGAGATAGGGTTATCAAGAGAGAAGAATCATCTTTGATCATATTTTCATATCAACAGTTTGCTGTATCTGCTGTGTGTGACTTTTTGCTTTCTCTGACAATTGTGATGCTCTTGGCTTGAATGAGAGACAGATGTCTTAGTATATATTAAGAGGATACATATTAACATATTTAAATAATTTAGAAATGTTTCTTTTCTGTTTGTAAAACTTTTGAGGTTTTGCATTTGGAATCTGTGGATGGAATCCCTGACTTCAGTTAAAGTCCATTAAGGCTCATGTTAAGGAGGCAGTAGGTTTGTGTGTTACACTGCTGGGTGGGCTTATGATACTTACATTTAAGTGTAAGAAATTGTACAGTTTGTATTGCATTGATGGTATGTATCAGAATTCATGAAAATGTATTTTACAAATGTAACTGGTTATTTTTGGTGGGAGAGCTGTTAGAAATAGCCTAGACCTCTGTAAATTTAATGTTTATTGAGGAAAAATGAAGGGAAAGTATTGATTTCTCTGTGTTCTCTCCCTCCATTCTAGAAAGGTGACAGAGTTTTCACCCTTGAAACACTTTCTGGAGGATACGCCGAGTATGCAGTTGCTGCAGCCAACAGAGTCTTTCCTTTGCCAGACAAACTGGACTTCAGGCAGGGAGCAGCGATTGGAGTGCCCTACTTCACTGCCTACCGGGCCCTTTTCCAGAAGTAAGGCCCCATATCCATGTTTGTGCACTCTAATCTTTGGTATTTACAATACCAAAGTTCGTATTTTCACTGTCCTTTAAAAGGGGGAGGATGGTGAGTGAGAAATGTTTAAAAACATTATATGGATGGAATTGTCAGATAATTGTGGTGTAGCAGCTTGTGACTGTGTTTTCCTGTTAAGTCTTTTTTCTTGAGAGAACCTACCTGGAAAGGCTTAATGGAATAAAATATGTGACTCCCTTTCAGTACTCACTGGTGTTTTGGCTGAGGAAGAAAAAGAGCAATAGCTCTAATTTCCTCAGTAAGCAGACAGGTGCTGTGGAGCAGAACTGCTTTCCTGTGACAGGCCGAAGTCCTCGACTGAGGCTCAGTAGCAGGCTCTCACTGGCTGCTGGCTGCATGTTGCCTCAAGTCATCAGTCACAGGATTTATTTTGCCTCCTTGTTCTCCCAAAAAGGCTTATGGTATCTGTTTAGCCATAAATTGGAATATAACTGGAACACAAACTGGAAACAGTGCTGTGTGAACAATGAGATCGATGTCAGTATCTGCAGCCCCATGCTCAGTCAGTGTGTACTGCAGTCACAGTGCCAACATTTCTTGTGTTCTTCACTTAGAGGCTGTGCCAAAGCAGGGGAAAGCGTGCTGGTGCATGGTGCTAGTGGGGGGGTAAGTATGCCAAGGAGGCAAGTGGTAGGAACACTGCTCTCTGTCTTTGCTTCTGCTTCTTCCTGGGGTATGAGTTATGGTCATATGTGTATCAATAGATTAGCAGATTAGGTTTTTATTTAAGATACTCTAGGATACACGTAGAAAACCCTGTCATTCCCAATAACTGTGAGGCTGCACGAGTGCTGGTGCGAGTTCCCCAGTCAGAGGGTCACATGCTGAGCAGGTGTTTGCTGCAGGTGGTAGTTGGTCTGGAAGTTTTATTGCTGATAGCAAAAAGCTCTAATTTTCCAATATGTACAAATTGTTCTCAGTCCTCTGAGAAAAAGTGACTGGTGGAGGGTGACTGTGCATTTCTGTTTACATTCTCATGTTTTTACCCATGAGCCAACAGCTGGCTGCACAGGGAAATGTGCTGGAATATATAAACCTGCAACTGAATACTACAAGAAGTTGCACTTCTAGTTTTCTTTGGGTTTTCATGACAAACTTATTTTAGATCTCTATGACTCAACATTTTAGTTCATCTCCCACACTCTGCACTTGCTCACTTTCTGGTGATGCACCAAACAGCTGCTGTGAACAGGCCAAGTTTCCTTAATTATTTGTTAAACAACAAAAAGATGAATTAATATCTTATTCTGAGATACTAGAATAGCATTTAGCATCATAAGCCTTTTTTTAAATTTTCATAAACTACATGTAGTGTTTCTATTCTTACTAGAGTGCAAAGCTGGTAGGAGACACTGAGAATTCACTTTCTGAAGAAGTAGTATTAATAAAATTTGTGCTGCAGATTTTCTTTGCAATGTATAATGCTGGTATTAATAGCAGGTGATTCTGTGAAGAGAAGAATTTCCTTGGGTTTGAATCAAAAGTATAGGGCCCAGATTTGACAGCTACTCGGCATTCTACATCGATGTGTGTCAAATGCTGATAGCTATTAAAAAACCTCAAAAATTTACCACACCTCAGTAAATGTCTTTTTTTTTTTTTTTTAAGTATTTGGCTGTCTTTAAGATCCAAATTATTGGCTAAAAAACACTTCACCAGACTAGCTTTTTAAATGGGAAAGTTCCAAGTCGCTGGTAGAACAGTTAAAATTCTAAGAAAGTGGTAAAATAATTTTCTCTTTTGTTTTTTTTCTCCCCTCAGGTGGGACTAGCAACATGTCAGATTGCCAGAGCTTGTGGTTTGAAGGTTTTGGGTACAGCAGGAACGGAGGAGGGCATGAATATGATCCTCAGAAATGGTGCTCACCAAGCCTTTAATCACAGAGACCCAAATTACACGGAGAGAATTAAGGTAGGCCTGTGTCTGGACTCAAGAATGCAGTTGTGTTTTTCTTAACAAAATGTGAACAGTTGTTTGCGGAAGAATTTCAAGTAGATTTATGTAGGAACAATACTGTACTGCCTTTTTCATTTCTACACAAGTTAAAACTTTCTGAGGCTGGAAGAGCTGAGCTTTCCTCGCAGGCAGTGGCATTTAGAACTTCCTATATTCAGCAAATTCTAGTGTGGGATCACATCACAATTTAGCACAGCAAAATGTGCTACAATTCAGCTCATTAGCTGTCAGCTGCAGTTACAAAGGCTCTGTTGAACATAAACAATGAGCTGTAGAGTGGATACTTTCTGTAGTGTTTAAAATAAATGGTAGTACCCAAGCGCTGAAGTAACATCCTGTGTCCTGTACAGGCATGCACAGGGCCGGGTGGAGTCGATATCATCATAGAAATGCTCTCTAATGTCAACCTGGATGCTGACTTGCAGCTGCTGTCCTGCGCAGGGAGGGTGATGGTGAGTGCCTGTGTCCTGGGCCGGGAGGAGGGGTGACAGTGAGTGTTTGTGTCCCTGAGCAGGGAGGTGATGACGGGTGCTTGTGTCACTGATTTTGTGCATTCAGCATCACACTGAACAGCTCTGACTCCATGCTTTGGACTCCTTTGGGCAGGTTGTGGGCTGCAGAGGGCGCATTGAGATAAACCCAAGAGACACAATGAGCAAGGAATCCAGCATAATTGGAGTGAGTCTGTTTCTTGCAACTGAGGTGAGAGGCATTTCTATTTTAAAGCATGCTTTATTGGCTTGTTCCAGCAGCTCTCTATTTACAGTTAAAATTATTTGTAGGAGTGAAAGAATAATTTCACTGTAACAAACTTGTTACTTCATTCCTTTATGTTTTGATTCAACCTCAGAACATCATAAAATATTTTCAGGTTGTGGAGTTTGCTCTAATTCTTGCATAAATTGCCTGTACTATTCTACAGTGCAAAGATCTTGTCATAAACACTATGTTTGTTACATGCAGGAGGACAGGCGTGAATGTGCCACAGCAGTCCTTGATGGCATAGAAGCTGGCTGGCTGAAACCCGTTGTGGGCTTGGAATATCCCCTGGAGAAAGTAGCCAAGGCTCATGAAGACATTATTTGTAGCAATGGTGCCCGAGGGAAGATGGTGCTCCTTCTATAAAGGAGCACCTTCTTCCATTTATTTTGTAGCTGTTCTAACTGCACCTTTGCTTACATGGTTCACTGAATGTATGTTATAAATATACCTTTGATCATGTTTGACAGTAGCAGAAAATGCTAAAAATGCTCACTTAGATGAATTAGTTAACATTTTCTTTTTGCAATGAGCAGAGTTGCATTTAATGTAAGGTAATTTTGGTAGATTTTTGATTGATGTGGAAATAATAAATTTCCTCCACTGGCATGGTTTGTGCTGCAGGGAATGGTAGGGTTTGGTATCATGGTCCATGTGAAGGCAGAGTGAGGCCACTGTAGGTAATGCAGAATAAAGATGCTTTTTACAGGTACACAAAAATAAATAACTCACTGTGTGTGTTAATTAGAACTGTAAATTCTTTTAGCCTCAAAATTTGTAGTCAAATTTTGTCACAATTTACTTGAAATAAAAGCTTTTACTGACAAAATAGTTTACTTTCTAGCTCAAAAGATGGGCAGAATCTCTCAAACAGGAACTGTTTGGAGCCGAGGCAGTTCTACTTGTCTGTGCCTCTAAGGCTGAGGTGATAGTGTCCTGGCTCATCCATAGGGACTGTCACTCTGGAGCTGCATGCTGGGATTTGCCTCTTTGGAACTGATGATCATGACCGAAGCAGCTGATTCCTGGATAGTAAATGCCTGATTGTGAAGAGTTCAGTTCTTCCTATGTGCTTTAATAAAGTCTCCTGGATCCCTGGCTCCGTGGAGAGCAGAGGCTACATGGCTTTGTGGCATGGAGAGTTCCTGTGAAACTCCCGAGCTCCATCCGCTGAAGTGGGCAGGGCGTAGCCTCAGCCGTAGGGCTTGTGTCCAGGTGTCTGTGTGGGGTCACTTTGCCATGGCACCGGGGTCATTTCATTGTGTCTTGTTCTCATAAACCTTACATCCACTGCACAACAGATGGTGGTGCCAGGAAAGATGGTGGAATGTTTCTAGAGTTAACGGTTTCAATTTAGGGTTTCAGTGAGTGGTTTCAGAAAGCTGCTTGGGGAGAGAAGGATGAGGCCATCTCAGCTGTGGGACTGTCTGCCAAGGTGCAGTGGGATCCTTCCTCCCGCCAGGCTGCCCCAGGGGAACGAAGCTGGTTTCTTTGTAGCACTTCCCACAGGAGTAGGGAGCTTTATATGAAGATTTAAGTGATTCACCTGCTGTAAGTGATGTGTGTAGCAAGTGTCTCAGTTGCTTATCCAGGTGAAAGGTGCTGACTGTTCTATTGTCTCAAGCAGAATGAAGCCTGAGCAGTGGTGTCATGCTGGCAACCTGCTATTCCTCTTGACAACACTGTTAGAGAAAGTGAAACATCTCTCAATATCAAAGTAGTAAACACAGGTTAAAAGTAAAGTTTAACAACAGATATGATTGTGGAGCTGATGTGCATATAAAAGTATAGACCCTCTATATTCTGTGTCAAACATTAAATTATTTTTAATTCAGTCTTAATTTAGTAGGGGTCTATGACATGGATGAGAGGCTGATGGTTTGCAGTGGCTCCTTTCTTGCTTAGTTCTGCCACTGCATCGTGGGTGATGTTTAGAGGAGAAATCCAGAGCAAGTCTCTGGTCTGTCCTCATCGTTGATGTCCCAAGGGCCGTGATTGTAGTGGAGTTTGTCACCAGAAGGTGTCAGAGCAGTTCTGTGTTACCACGTTGTCAGATTATTGCTGCTCTCTGCCAGACGACATGGCAGAATGGCACAGCAGGACTGGGACTGACTTGTTGGGAATATCATAGATCGTTTATTCTTCTGTCAATTTCCAATGTATTGTATAAATCGAAGGAGTTTTTTTTTTTTAAATTTTGGAAGAAGCAGTGTGAATAGAACTGATGAGGTAGGGCTCAGGTATGTCTGATTTGTGTAAGCCACCAGTCTAGAGAATGTCATCCTGGAGAGTTCTTGGTTTGGCTCTCTTTTTGGGACATGCTGCCCCTTGGCAGTGCAGAAAAGGATGAGGAAAGGAGTGGGAGCCACAGGCCTTGAATCTGGAGGAATAATTCTCTCAGTTTGTTGAGAATCTTCTCCTGATTTGACTGGATGGGATTTTGGAAGCAGTGGTTCCCAGTCACAGCCTGCTTGGTGCTGCCATGGGTGTTTGGAAGGGTTAAACTGGTTAAACTGTATTTGTGCCGACTTTGGCATCTGCAGGAGAGGTTTGGGGTTCAAAGTGAGGAGTTGTGTACTATGCAAGGCTCTGGAAACTGCTGTTCTATGTGTTTCTAAAACAGAAAAGAGTGGAATTATTCTGAAAAGCAGCTGCTCTTGTTTAATTTCATTGTGCCTCAAATAAATGCTGCTTACCTTTTCTAGTCATTTAAAGTGTAGTTGCCTCTCTATTGTAATTGTCCTGTATCTGTTCCTGACTTCTTCCTGTGCTGCAGGATGATAAAATAAGTTAGTTTAAAACTTTAATTACAGAGGTGGGAAGATAAAATATCAAGAGAGTATTTATGTCAAGAATTGCTCCCTTTACAGAAGACAGGTCAATATTGAGTTCGGGTGTATCATACCACAGAAAACTTGAGGATGGTGAAGTCTAACATTTTGGAACAGATACATCAGGAGGGATGGTTGTCCCTGCTATTCCTCACTGCAGGGATCTCTGTTCATACCAGTCACTCTGGTCCCTGGAAGCATTACCTTGTGAGTTTGTACTTCATCTGGGACTTGCAAGAACTGCAGGAAGAAGGGAAAAACAAGCATGGAAGGGTGGTTGTATCTCCTTTATTTCAGTAAATTGGGTGTCTGTTGCCAATGCAAACTTCGGTGCTTCCTGTCATCTGGACTGAGAGATGGAAATCAGGATTGATATTGGAAGTGCATCCTGTCACCTCATGATACATTTTTAAGTTCCTGGGTCTGTGTTGTATGAAAATGCCTTCTCCATACTTCTATTTTAAACTTTTTTCTTCTTATATCTCCCCCTCTTTTTTTTTTTCCCCCTTTTACCATCTTTCCTTTTTGTTTTTTTCTTTTTCCTTCCCCTCCCCTCCTAGTCTGGCGTTGTTGCAGCACCAGTGTCCCGCAGCCCCACGCCAGCCTCACCCAGCTGGAGTTTGTGGCCAGTTCCGGGCCCCTCAGTACCAGAAAGACAAGCAGCTGCTGGAGGGGGTCCAGCAGAGGGTCGCAGAGGTGAATGAGGCGTACTGCATCTGAAGCATCTCTCTAACGCCGAGAGACAGCCCAAGGTGGGCGTGCTTAGTGTGGAAAAGACTCAACTGAGAGGGGATCTCACCGATCCGTACAAATATTTCCAAGGGGTGTCACAGAATGGTGCCAGGCTCTGCTCAGTGGTGCCCAGCGACACGATGAGGAGCAATGGCCATGAACTAAAGCACAAGTTCTACCGCAACCTGAGGAAGAACTTTGCATGGAGGGTGCTGGAGCTCTGAAAGAGCTGCCTGGAGCGGGTGTGTGGAGTTTCCCTCTCTGGACACATTCGAAACTCAACTGTATGCGTTCCCGTGTCACCTGTTCCAGGTGACCCTGCCTTGGCAGGGGATTGGACTTGGACTCTCCAGAGGTCCCTTCCAACTCCAACAATTGCGGGTTCTGTGATTCTGGGGCGGCAGGCGGAGCACCGGTCCCCTCCCGTCCCTCCCTCCCGTTTCTCCCTCCCGTTTCTCCCTCCCGTTTCTCCCTCCCGTTTCTCCCTCCCTCCTGCGAGTCCCTCCCTTTCTCCCGTCCCTCCCTCTGTCTCCTGGCGACGCCCGGGACGCGGCGGCAGCGCCGGTGCGGGAGCAGCGCGGGCCCCGCGGCCGCCGCCGCTGCCATGAGCGCTCCGCAGCCGCGGTGAGTGCGGCGGGGCCGGGGCCGCTCCGGGGGCTGCTCCGGGGCTGCTCCGGGGTCGGTCCGGGGGAAGCTCCGGGGGCCGCTCCGGGGCCGCTCCGGGGCCGCTCCGGGGGCCGCTCCGGGGGCCGCTCCGGGGGCCGCTCCGGGGGCCGCTCCGGGGCCGCTCCGGGGGAAGCTCCGGGGCCGCTCCGGGGCCGGTCCGGGGGCGCTTCGGGGCCGCTCCGGGGGCCGCTCCGGGGCCGCTCCGGGGGCCGCTCCGGGGGCCGCTCCGGGGGCCGCTCCGGGGTCGGTCCGGGGGCCGGTCCGGGGGCCGGTCCGGGGCCGGTCCGGGGCCGCTCCGGGGCGTTTCAGCGCTGCGGGGGTGCTGACAGGGACGGGCCACCGGCGGCTCCCTGTAGCCCGCTGGGGCACAGAGCGGGGCCGCAGGTGCCCCGACCTGCCCGGAGGGAGCCCGGGGAGCCTTCCCGGCTGCGGGAGAGCGCCCGGCACCCCCGGGGCTCCCGGTCGGTAAGGGCTGATGGAGCCGCGGAAAATGGGGCTGTTGCTGCAGGTGAGTCCCTAGTTACCTGCCTTAGGACATGCAGGTTTTTTGTTCAGAGAACCCGGACTTCCCCGAGCTGATGTCACAGACCAAGAGTGAGGAACAGAGAATCTCTGCAGGTCTCTATGACAAATTTCGGCACATCCTGGTATAGTGGGCAATGATCTGAGTAAGCAAGCGGCGGTAGAACTTGCTCCTGGGCCACACAAAAAATCAGTAGCACAACAGGCCTTTGGCTTCTAGCTCCGTGTGTGGTTGTGAGGCTTAAGACTTCCTCTGGGGGGGATAGCACACAGGTGCCAGGTAGAGCACAGGCACCACGATCGCCTGTGACTCTGCCAGTTAGTAACTGAAGCTTTGGTGCTCTCTCACATCATTTATTTGGTGATCACTGATTTAATTGCACTGTGAAATATTAACTGTGAAGGTTTGCTTTACAAAACACATAGAATGCCTGCTGTGGCTTTGTCTTGATGTCCTTCCAAATGAGTGAGAGTGGTCTTAAAATTTACTGTGGTACACAGCTCTGGCTCTGAGTGTAGGCCTTTTGGTAAGCTGCCAGCTGAGAACAAATATACTGTAAATAAATAATAGTGTCAATGATCATAGCATCATAGAATTCTAAACAACCTCAAATTTAAAATTACTGACCTAAGAGTGACATGTTGTCACTGGCTGCGATGCCAGAGAAACAAACATGACACTCATCTTGAGAAGAGCTTCAGACATACTCCAGGAATCTACAGATCAGTCAGTTTGAGTTCTGTGCCAAGAAAATTGTCTGCTATTCTAATAAAATCCCAGCATTTTTAGAGAGAAGAATGAACAGGATAAATGGGCAGAGAAAAAGGAGTTCCAGGAACACCCAGAAAAGGGATGTGATTACTGTGACGCACGGGCTGTACAGAGCTGTCTGAGACTAGTGCTTTCCCTTTCCTGTGTTTTTTCCTAACATGAATTTTGTCAGTTCTGCACTTCTGCCTTTAGCAGAGGTTTTAAAGGTAACGATTGTGTGTGGTTCAATACTGGAACCTTGAAGAAGACAGCTCAGACAAGAACTTCTCTTATCCTTTCGTTGGTACTGGGAGCAGGCTAAATGGGACCAATGGTTGCTTTGCTGGAGTGTTCCTGGCCATCCCTGAGGCACTGGCCCATGCCTGCATTTATAGCCACAGGGGATTCCAGGGCTGGAACACGATTCCAGGGCTGCAGCACAGCACAGCCAGACCCTGGTGGGCCCGCTTGCATTCTTTCCAATGATTTAATGGGTGTTGGTTTAGGCCCAACACATTTCCTTATTTCCTCTAATACCCTTTTGAACTCTGAACTTAATTCAATATTTTTGGGGGCCAGCCTGTTCATAATTTAAATGTGAAAATGCATGTTCTGAGACTTTGGTGAAACAGAAATTGCCACATCACTGTGTTCAGATGGGAGCTTAATTTTAACTAGTTATGTGGTCCAGGATATCTTAGGTGGTAGGAAGTAAATTAAAATGAGTTGGATTGAGTTTCTCCTCTGCCTCAACATGCAGTTGCTAAGTGATACCATAAATTAATACGCAGCAAAACTGGTGGAATCTGGTGGTTTCAAATGCAAACTCTGGATTAAAGAGGTAACATAGAACAGTTGCTATCTTACCAGTGTTTAACCAACAGGCATAAAGGGGTAATCTACATTATTTGTTTAAAGTTTAATTTGTTGTTGGCAGCTACCTTTGCAATTATTGTGAAACCCCACGTAAAATTCCTGTAAATCTATGATCTCTTTATTCAAAAAAATTTCTCCTTTCTTTCCTTGAGTATGTTTTTGTAAGTGGCAGATGAGCCTAGCAATAGACATATAACTGAGTTATCCAGCTGAAAGGGACGTAACAGAGGCACAGTACATTTAAATCTACAGCCAAAGAAAATGAAGGAGTTCAGTCTTTTGTGTAACTTGAGCCCAGAGGTCAAGCTGAACATATTATGTGACATGTACCTGAGTGCGTAAACTGTAAAAATGTGAAAGGATTTAGAATATTACAAACTGCATCCTAGTGTCACTGACTTCTCTATTTGTCCTGTTTTCCAGAGGGTGAAGTAAGATATGCTTGCGCTAAAAATAGTTGAAAAATATAACTGCTAATTATGAATGATTCAGTTTTTGTGTTCAGCTTTCATATCTGAGGTTGAGTTTTTTGAAACTTTGGTAACTGTGATGATTGTAGTGAGGCCCAGGTCCAGGTTGCCCAGAGAAGCTGTGGCTGCCCATCCCTGGGAGTGCTCAGGTCAAGTTGGATGGGCCTTGGAGCAATGTGGGCTAGTGGAAGGTGTCCCTGCCACCAGCAGGGCCCCTGGCAGAGTGGCTGGGGAGTTGTGTCTGTGCAGCTGGGCTCCAGCTCCAGGTACACTGCTGTCCTGCCCATGATCAGGAGCTCCTGGTGGAGGAGGCTGTCAGGGCTTGCCTGGTGGTGCCATGCCGTGTTGGTGGTAGTGCTGTTCCACACTCAGCTCTTGGCCTTAGGTACCAGTCATGTGTTTCTGATATGAAATTCCAGGAGGCCACAAGATCTTGCTTTTACATAATCTGATGGGCATTTGCCTGACCAAATCCAGGATGATTTACTAAGGCAGCATTTCCTGTAGCAAACTATTGGGTAGCTCTGTTTAACTTAGACTGCAATAATTTGTCAGTCAAGGGGATTATAAATATCTCCACTTGTTTCATTGCAGACTTCTTGAAACCTATAACAGTCTTACAGACAAACACCTGGTTGGATATTTCAGCAATGCCAGGATAAGACGACATCTTCAGAAATCTGGACTGGTGAGACTGAAAAGTTTCCTTCAATTCTACATTCAATTCAAAATGTTTTTATGCTTTTGTTCCCATATTTCCTTTTGCTCATTTGAGCTTCCCTCTGCAAAGTGTTTTAGTTTGCAGATATACAGCATCATATTGATTCACTCATGTTTTTTACACTGTGAAATTTAAGCATCTTTGACTTGTTTAAATAGTTTCAGTGCTATTTTTTTTCAGAGGTGTTTAATGGAAAACTGAAGGATTTAGTAAAGGTGAATATACTGAATATTTTGTTAAAAACCGTGGTGCTCTCCTAGGTGTGACTCTTTTGCACAGGCAGGTGCAATAGGGCAGCAAATATTTAATCCTTTCCACCCCTTTGGGCAGTGCCCCGTGAAGGGTAAGGCTGAGCCCTAGGCTATTAGAAATGTGGCTGCTGCTCCTTCCATTTGGCTGCTGGAGTTCATGAGGTCAAAGATAATACAGTGCTGGAAGGTGAGTTCCAGCACCGTGGCAGGGGCAGAGGTGGAAAAAAACCAGGAGGAGGAAGTGGTCTTCTGGGAAATTGTACTGTTTGAAAACATACTTTATTTCATCTTCTCCTTTTCAGTAACATTATATTTGTGTATGGCAGATCTCAAGGAGCGGAAGAATAATACCTGAGAAGGAATACCGTCTCAATGCTATGAGAAGGGACCACCAGAGATACGTCCGGGAGTGCTTGGCTGATGCCTTATTTCATAAGGTCCTTGACACAGAGGTGTGCCCTTACTGAGGATGTGTGAGACTTCTCAGGTGTTTCCTCACTGACAGCCAGGGGTTGCTAATTGTACTGGACTGCTGGAAGGCTCTTTCCTGCTGGGAAAAAGGGCAGACTTTGTGCATGAGGCTTCCCACATGAAACCTCCATGGGCCTCCCACTGTCCAACCGTGCCATTGTGGGAGCAGGCACTGTCCTGGCTTCCTTATTGCTTTTTGACAACTCTCAGATTATGAGATGATATTCACAGGGCTAGTTTGCTTTAAAAAATTCTGATAAAAACAAACCAGTTTGAACATATTTATATATAGATTGTCTGAGTACAAAATCTGGGCACATTCCTGTGGGATATCAGGAAGGGAGTTGGTTCCTACAACTTTACCGACTTTACCGGCGCTCAGTTGTTCCCTTGGCTGTGTGAATATATGCAGGTGAAATGCACATAGATTCAACCCACAGTAGTTTTATTACAGGGCTCAATGACCATAGTGGCCAGGGATAAGGCATGGGACTAGCAGGACAGAAGCAAGAGTTCTTGCACACACTGACATCTCATAATGGCCAGTAATGGGATTTTTCTTCCTCTTATATTGATAGCATCGTCCTCAGCTGGGGATAAAAGGGAGACTTGATTATTCTGCGAGGAAAGAGACGCAGCCAGTCAAGGTAAGGCTTCAGCACTGCTGATGGGACCTGGCAGTTTTGCCTGTGTGCAGTAATAACCATGAACCTGACTGGTGATTCATTGAGACAAGTGCTCTGTGTCTGACATGGAAAAGTACAAGAAACAGGCAAGTAGAGGATGATCCTGCCCCAGTTACATCTCCTTCATCCTTTGTCCAGAAGTTCAGGAGCTTCCATTTATGTATTTAATTTCTTCTGAATCTAGTTATTCTTCTGCTTCTGCAGTGTTCTTGGTTGGGTGATTTAATCATTAATGACATGAAATGGTACCTCCTTGCATTTCTGCATAGGTATAAATGTGTCTGCTGTCTGATATATCTACTTGATGCTCCATTGTTCTCGGTATGACAAAAGTTATTAAATGTTTTCTTTTCCCAAGGCATCTGTGGTTTTGCACACGTTCTTCACATTCCTTCTCAGCTTTCCAAGCTGAAGGTCCTCAGTCTGAATTTTTCTTACCTGAACCATGCCAGGCTTCTCATTACTGTTGCTATTTTTTTACCTTTTCTTGTTCTACTCTTTCTGTTTTGAAATGGGGAACCACAACAGAATTAATAATTCAAGACACATTCTCCTCTCAGTAATTCTAGACTTCTCTGCTTTTGATTGCTGATGAGCACTGAGCTCATGTGTTTGTTTGTTTGCCTCTCCACAGGATTTGGGCAGAACTGGCATGTAAGAAATCAAAGAGGTTTTAGGAGTCTTCATTTAGGTGTCATGTAGGTTGAACTTGATTCTCTACTTAGAGTAATGAAAATCTCATAGAAGTCAATGGTTCTTCTCCCCATGCAATCACCTGAATTCATATGGGAAAAGTCATCCTCATTTTGGCAGAAACATGCTCAGAATTTTATTTCTGTATTAGGAACCTGAATGCTTTGAGAAGAGTGCCTTGAGAAAGTGGCTGCTTCATTGAGCAGCTGGTAAAAAATGTCAGGTCTGTTAAACTGTAAATAATACATCTATAAGCAAGTCATGGGGTAAACAAAGGAGATTTTCCTGAAAGACAGTGGTCACTATGGAAATTGCAAAGGTGTTGTTTGCTGATGGAACTCCTGTGGTAGGAAGTCACCCCATGGAAGCAGCAATTCTGGCACCTTATCAAGGGATCCTGGGCTTGAATAATTTTGGAACGTAAACTAGAACTACTTCCTTCAGAAAGACACCTGCAGACACCTGATCTGTGTGCGCTGTGCTGCCATGCTGGGATGCAGGAGCCTGGCTGGAGCCAGCGGTGTAATTTAATTCTCACCTCATCTGTTCAGTGAATTCATCTGAGTCGCTTGTCTGAAAGGAAAGGAGAAAGGCAGATGGCTGAGCAAAGGAGGGTGAGAGACAGAGCTGTCTGTTTCCAGTGGGGCAGCCATCCCAGCATTGGGTTGGTGAGAAGAGAAGGTGGGGAGAAACTGCAGGCACAGCAGGGAAGTGGCAGATGCACTCGAATTTAAAAAAGAAAGAGACTTTCAAACAAACCAAGAATTGTGAGATACACAGAAACAGACATGAATAGAATCTAGTGGGTCAGCAGCTGGAAAATGAATCAGAGGTGGGAACAAGTCTTTTGCTTGTCCCTCACATTTTCCTGATTTCCTTTCTTTCCTTAACTAGCTGTTCCATTTGGTCCAGGCCAGCTGATTGTCACAGCTGAAAGAGATGTAGGGAGACAGACATCACTGTTTTTGGAATCCGTGCCTCAGAGACATAAATTCCTTTTCTTTCAGATGGATCAAGTAAAGGGAGAAGTCACGCATACGTACTCCCCACATCCGCCAGTCGCTCCAAGGAACCACCATGCGCGCTGTCCTTTAGTGTCTGGAGAGCGAACTGGCCGCTCACAACGGGTGGGTTTCATCAGCTTCTCCATGGGCTCCCATGGCAGCACAGACAGCTGAGAGTGTGCCCTTGGACCTGAGTTCACAGCACTCACTGCCTGGATCATTCTGGATTAGGGCTTCGCCCTTGATCACTTGAGGCTGATTTCCTGTTTGTGTTGAAGAGGAATCTCCAGAAGCTAGTGTTTCAGGAATGGCACATCAGAACCAGAAAAAAACCCAAACCCTTTTCTGTCTGATAGATCTGCTTCAGTGTTTCCCTTTTAGCTGCCTCATGACTTCAGGCAGGCCAGTATCAGTGTGTTGAGCATTGTCAGTGGACACAGGGGCTATATACAAGGTTACACATGTTGTAAAGCCCTGAAAATTGTGAGGGTATTTTAGAAAACAGTTGAAGGAATGAAATCAGACTGGAGCTCATTTCAGAAGGTTGTGGTCTAGGAGCTCTGACTTTTGCTCTTTGTTAACAGCAAAGAAGGAATGTTAATAAACTCTTGAAATATAATGCTACTAAAGCCTGAAGTCAAAGGTTAAGTACCTGGGTCAGTTTCAACTGGTTCTCTGTATCAATAAGGATAACTGATGCAGATTGAAGAGAAACTTTTGAATCCTGATGACCTTCTTTTCATATAGAGGGCACCTAGACTTGGAGTTGATTATGGTGGTGGACATTATTCTTATTATCACCGAATCAAGGATCCTGCCTACTGTAAGGTGGTGAGTTAACCTTAGTTAAACAGTGCTGTTAGTTGTTAGCATTTTAACTTGGTATTCTGAAGGGTATGCAAGGAAAACATGAAATAAAACAGTCAGAAAAAAGCTGAATATTGAACAAAAATAGGTACTTTTTTGTTGTGCATTCTCTCTGGGTGCATGTGCTGAAGTCCATAGCACACAGCTGCAGTTTCTGTGAGTTCATAGCGTTTGATCCAAGGCTGTGTGGTGATGAGACAGCAGCAAACCTTGTATTTATAGCCAAGAGTTGTTTTGAATGGACCGTTAGAGGTGCCTAAAGGGGTCTGACTCTTTGGAGGCAGACTAGAAAATGTCATGTCCTGTAGGTACCTGAAATCATTCACCACTTCCAGATATCTTCATCAGTGCTATTACTTTTCTTTGTGGCACTGCTCTGCACTGAGATTTTGTCATTGTTTTCTTTCTTCTTTCGTAGAGTTCCTGGCGACCAAATACAGCTCCAGGAAATACACAGCAGCCCTCTCGCCTCCAGCCCCTTCTTGGCTGGGCTGCAGCAGGGTCTGTACCAAAGGCTTCCAAACAGAAGTGCCATGCACTGGAATATTATCAGCAGTTTGCCTGTGGGGTGAGGCTGTACTGTACTTCATTCTGAAAAGAATATCACTTTAGGGACCGTTTTATAATACTGTTTAAGTACTGTGGTTCCCAGAACTGTATACAACAAGGAACATCCCGTTCAAATGGCATCAATTTCTATTTAAACTGTCCTTTTTCACTTCCCCTCAATTTTCAAGACACTATCTTACTGGTCTAATGCCCAGTTCTTGATCACAGTGAGGAAAAATGTGGCGACTTACCTTTTATAGTATAAAATCTTTCTGCATACAAAATTTTCTCCCTCTAGATTTTCTCTTATGTAGAGAGAGAGGCAGCACCTGGTTGACTCCAGGAACTTCAGAATATTTTCAGTTGCAAGTCCTACAAGTTGTCATTGTCACCTACAAAGTAACAAAAAATTCCTTTTTTTGATCATTCCTTCTACTAAATCACACTAGTGGGCTTAGAGAATGAGAGTCAAATATGGTCTTGATATGTTTGTAGTTACTTTCAAGTGATATTTGGACTTGTGTTCTGTTCTAGAAAAACATAATGTAATTGGTTTTGTGATAAGCATTCCGTGGGGTGAGAGGGTTTTGGAGTGGGACTGTGATCTGCTGCCACTGGCTGGCAGACATTGTGTGAATAGCTCGTTTCTGTGTATGCATGGTCATGATTCTTTCTCCAAGAATTTGCTGGTTGGACCTCTTAGTGTCTACTCAAATTATGGGTGATTAAATAGTTTCTTTAGTGCTCATAACTGACAAAACAGCTAAATCAGATATAGGTTCTGAGAACATGATGCAGAACTCAGAGCCACAGCATGCAGCATTCACAGAACTTGTTCTCTGTTAATGTCTTACTCCTACGGGCTGTGGTCCATTTCATTCTGCAAGAGCACTAAGTCTCTATTCGGATGAGGAAGCAGCATTTTGAAGTACATCTTGTATAACTGATGCCACGTGATGTTTTTGTTGGACAGCTGGCTACTCTGGGGATGTGCTTTCCAGCTGCAAGGGAGCAGCAGAGCTGCAGGGCTGTGCAGGGTTCTGTCTGAGATGAGATTTTGGTGGTGCTGGAGCCAGGGCTTGGTCCATATGCTGAAGCCATGCCCAGCTCCATATGCTTGGGAGCTGGTTTTGCAAAGGCTGTGTCAGTTCATTAAAATGTTTTTCCAGGGGGACAGGAGTGAGTTAAAGTTCAGGAATACAATGGACTGCGTGGCTGGTGTGTCACCGTATCAGCTCCCTGTCATCAAGCGTCGTGGTCGTTCTGTGGTGCCAGTGCCACCGCCCCGCCCGCACGTAGGGGACAGGTGTATCCCTGGAATCAGGCGTGGGCTGCCTGTAGAGAGATGGTTTCATCCCACCACTGGATTCAATGAACAGTTTTTGATCAATGTAAGTAGTCTCTGTCCATGTGCAGGTGTATTACATTCCTCACTGGTGTGTTTGCTTAATGCTGAAAGACATGCATACCTAGTTTGCATAAAGAAAATGTATAACTATTAAAATATATAATTGCTATGCATGTCTCTGTAAACGAAAACTTTTGGTGTTTTTTATCAGTTGGGGAGAAAAAAAGGTGCTGAACAACAGCCTAGAGCAACAGTTATTCAAAGCCTTCTACTTCAGTCAATCTGATTTTGTCTCTGGCACTAGAATCTCAGGGATTTGTGAAATGCCTTGAGTCTATGAACACTGCATCGGTTACACTGTCTCTAGCCAGTTTTAACTCCTGTAAATAAAGTTGCAGGAACCCAGGACTGGGAGGGATGATATGAGTCATTAAACCTGGTCCCTGCAATTTGGGGCTATTCAATGCATTGGCTTTTAGTTGGAAATATATCCCAGACCCTCTGCATGTTACAAACACTTCCCAGTTCAATCAGCTCATTATCATATTCACTCGTTATCAAAGCCCAGAAGTCTCAAGTGTGTGCTGCACAGATGTCAGCTTTGTTTCTGCCTTTGTGGGAGCTGGGAGCTGAAGGCATTTCTGTGCATTTTCTGCTGCAGAATACCAATGGGTTCCCCAAGTCCCCATTATGCAGCAACGCCCTCGTCACCATGATCTACCTAGGAAAGAGTAAGCACGTGTCTCTCCGTGACTGGAAGGATGAAATCAAAGTCTATCAGCAGTACTGTGGAACAGAAAACATTTGTGTCTATAAAGGCGACCTGTTGGAAGGAGGTAAGGATGGAGTCAGAGAGTTGGTATTGATTGTGGCAATACTGTCTTTTTGCTCAAACTTTGCCCTGACATCAGAATGATTACAGCTCAGTTTGGTCAAGATATATGCATCCAGGGATATTTGTACCATCTGCCTCCATGGCCAGCTCCATATGCTCAGGAGCTGGTTTTGCAAAGGCTGTGTCACTTCATTAAAATGTTTTTCCATTAAAATGTTTTCTGGATCATGCCCCATGACTGAAAGTGAGGTTACAGTTACTTTTGCAGTGATGCTAGAAGATTATAGAGAATTGATTTAACAAAATACTTGTGGCTTATGGTAATTTTCTGTATAGATATAGGTTAATAGAGCAGTTGTAGCAATAGACTGTCCTTAAAAAGGCGTTATCTGAGTTGCTAAAATACATCAATTGGTTCTTATTCCAGAAGGAAAAGTACATAGTGGGAGCATGGTCCCATCTCTTGTTGTGTGAGTGCAATTCCATCACAGTAGTAAAAGATGAATTGTGTTCTGGGAAACTGAACACAGGAAACGGCTGTGAGGCTCTGGCCTTTGTCCTGCTGTGGCAGTGAGTGGCCAGACTGACAGTGTGACACTTAGCCTAGCTGTCCCTTAGGATTCTGGGGCTGGCAAGAGCCAGGGCTGTGTGTGCGGAGAGGTAGAGTTTAACCAACTGTTGACCAGACCTGAGAACCCCAGTGCCTGTCCACAGAGGGCTGGGTACTGTGGTGATGCAGTTAAGGCACAGCAGTTGCTACAGGCTGACAGTGAAGCATAATGTTTTTCTTTGAACCCTTTATTTCTGCGGTTGCAGACACCTTCCAGTTCATCTCCAAGAGGTACCTTGGTTTCCCGTTCAGCCTCACCTTTTTCCTCAACGGGCTCCAAGTTGACAGGCTGAGCTGTTGCTGTGAGTACAGAGGCTTTCAGTGCAAGAGGCCTTCCCAGCTGCGACGCAAAAACACCTACTTCAGGGTGCTCCATGTGGCAGGAGCACCTCCCTGCTACAGGTATGGAGAAAGTGCTCTTTCACAAGGACCTTGTTTTGAGAGTTTCTAATTCGTTTCTCTTCCTTCATCTCTCTGGCTCCACACAGCTCTGTCGAGCCTGCTCTGTTCCTCAGTGCCCCATGGAAGGCGCAGGAGGGGGGTCCCCTGGCAGGGTCTCACATTCGAGGGTGCCAGCACAGCCAGTTCCCGTGGCTCCTCAGCCTCCCCGTGGTCTGTGCACAGGGTGGGGACAGTGCTTGTGTTGGACACGGGTCAGTGGCTCTGGGGTGGGGACCTGTGCCACCCGTGGAATAAAGACCGAGCATACCGCTCAGTCAGCTGTGGTTTCCAGAGGCTTTTTTTGGTGATAATTGATTTTTAAACAGCTCTACCTCTGAAGTGAAAATCTGTTGTAATAGCCCCAGCTTCAGAATAAGGCAGCACTGAATATTTGCCATGATTCAGAAACCAAATCTCTGCAGAAAGGTCTTGGGTAAATCTCAGTGCTGTGACCAGCAGCTTTGATTCAGCTAAGAGGCTTTAATTTTCATAAAATCTTCCTTTTCTGGAATTCTTAGTTCAGGCCATACAAGTAAACTTATGGACATGTGGATAATTTAAAATATTTTATGTTATTTTAATAAATAATTTCTAAAAGAGCAGCAAGCAGTTGGAACAAGAGACTCTCCACAGAGGTGTACTCTGTTCCTTCAGATAAGGACTGAATTCTAAGAAAAAAAATTGCTAGTTTATTGTATCATAGTTTTTGCTCCAGTCTAACAGTGAACAAGATTTATCTTCGTATTATGTTCATTGAATGTTCAAAGGAGTGAAAAGCATCTGAATTCAGAATGGCTATAGATTTTAGGAAATGCCTCAATCTCAGCTTTTTGTGATTTCTATAAAGATTTGAAGTGAATTTTCAGAATTTAATATAGTATCCAAAAATTGGATGAATTAATTCCTAACTTACTCCCCCTTTCTGTCCCCCTTTCCCTCTTACTCTTAGTGATGTCTCTCTTTTTCTGCCTCTCATCAATTCAGCTGACCTTATCTGATGACTAAAAATCATCTCCATTAACCTGATTTCCCCCATAAATTACAATTATTTTCACACCTCTTCAGGCCAAGTGCCCTTGGGTTTGTTTTCTGCTCTATGACATACAGTGAATGCCCACTCTGGTTCCCAGTAAAAGTCCCAGTTGATTTTCCCTGCTGGGTCAAGGCTTTGGCTCACAGCGAGGTGATGCTGCAGTGATTTCTGTACCATGCTGTAATCCTTGGTCTGAGAGCTTTCTTCTGGCCGAGGCCCAGCATTTCTGTACAGCTCCTGACTGTAAGAGAGAGAGAAAGCATATCACTCCATTTTGTACAAGAGGGGCAGTCTCAACAACTCATTCAAAATGCTTCGTTTTCCATGTTTGGGTTTCTTTTAAGTAGGTAAACAGAACAGAAATAGAAAATTACAAAATTTCAACCTTGTTCTTCCCCCACAGTTCTTAGACCCAGCAGATAAGTTCAGAAACGCCCAGTCTTACTCACAAACCCTCAGTTATCACATTACTGGGAGTTACAGCGGAGTCTGGATCCAGAACATGTCTGACTTGGAGCTTGTCTGCCTTTCTCAGTGGTTCTGTCTTCACAGCCAATGCTTGTGCAGCTTCAAACTAATGGGCATTGTAATAATTTTGGTTCTGTTTGTATGTCAGTTGTCGCCTGTTAGTGTGGGCAGCATTACTGTCCTTCAAGGAAGAACTGCATCTGTGTTAGGGGCGCTCTCAGGGGTTTCAGGGTGCTTCTCCTTGTGAGTCACTGTGGTGGTGCAGAGGCAGATGGGTGCTTGGTTTCCCTGCTAATAACACGCTGAACTCGCTATGTCTGCTGCCCTCCACTGTTCAAAGGAAGAAAAATGTGATACTTCCCAAGCTGTGTTATTTTACAGGTGCTTTCTTGCGATGGGTCTGGACAAAAAGCTGTTCCCTCCCAAGAGGAACAGTAGGTACTACAAGAGGGAGCATATGTGTCCCTGTTCTCCCTACTGTGCACACAGCCAGCCGTGTGACAACAGCATGGTGCAGAAAGCAATGACAGATTCAATGTCAGTCACCATACCGAGTCATGAAGTAAGTGTGGAAACTACTGAGGAAATACTGGAGGCTGAAGAGGAGTCCAGCGAAGAAGAAATGGAAGAGCAGTTTACTCCTGAAGACAGTCAGGAGGACACCAGTGAAAATGGTATAGTATTCCCAAACAGGAGCAGGGGATGAGACATGGGAGGGGATGGTACTGGAGAAGGTATGGGATTGTGGACCTCCAGCTTTGACTGGGGCATGAGAAATGTGGTGATGTCTGTATCTGGGTCACAGAATTAGAGGGGCTCTTCTCACCCATGCAACAGGATGAGGTGGTTTGCAAGAGCCAAGAAAGTGAGTGAGGAAGGGTGGCGAGGCAATGACAGAGGTTCCCCAGAGCAGCTGTGCTTGCCCCATCCATGGAAGCATTCAAGTCCGTGTTAGACAGGGCTTGGAGCAACCTGGGATAGTGGCAGGTGTACTCAGCTGTGGGAGAGGTGTTGCGCTCAGTCTCTGCCTTTACTTTCTCCTTATCATAATCTTCTTTGGAGGCAATCACATTCACAGGGAGACTTTAATTCCCACTTCCTATTCCTATTTTCACTTCTACAGTTCTGCACTGTTGCTGGTCATCTGACAATCGTTAATCCCTCCGGATGTGTGTTTGGGATTAATGAAGCCTTTTTACTTCAGGAGGAACTGCCCTTCTGACAGAGACCTCACTACCAACATTGCAATTGGAATCTCAATTGATATTTAATACAGAAAAATAAATCTCCTTCTGGCCTTAGTTCTCGTTGTCTTGGTAATTGTTTGTTTGCCTTAATGGTTCTGCATCAGGAACTCTTCATTTCTGTCCTTGGTGTTCTGTCAGTTCAGTATGCTAAAAGCCCTGATGGAAGGAAAGGAGGGCAGCAATAAAATCTGCAGAGTGAGGAATGATGGGCACAAGGGACAGCTGGTGGGGCAGCAGTGCCAGCTGGTCTGCGTGGTGCAGGTGTGTTCCCCGCGTGCAGGGAGCCCGCGGCAAGCAGGGCACTGTCTGGATTTGAGGTGGGAATCCCCGACATCCCAGTGCTGGTGCCTGGGATGTGCCCAGCACAGCTTTGCAGGGAAGGGGAGTCTTCTCTACTGCGTCTGCCACCTCCAGAGCCAGCAAAGTGCTGTGAAGGGCCAAGACTCGAGGATCCCTGCGGATCCCATCCAGCTCAGTTTGCTCTGTCATCTGTCAGATGTCACAGCTTTCAGGCTGGTGCCTGGCTGAATTCCAGAATGTGGATATAAGAGTGGTAATTCTGTGCAGGCTTTGTTTGTACAGGGTTTTCCCCTGGGCCCTGGAGGAACACATTAGAGCAGTGTGATAACAGTGCCTCTGCAGTGCCCTTTGGCTAGAGTTCATTAAATTCATTGTGTTTATAAGACACTTCTTTGTTATTTAGCCATGTCAATATACACTTATTGTGTTTTGCACTATAATATATTACCTTTCTCCAGCTTTCTCAATTGCTTGTAATTTTTTTCATCACAACCAGTTTTTCTCCTGTAATGAGACTCATATTTAATTTCTGAGTTGTCCCAGCTCTAAATTTTTCTAGTACTTTCCATGTCTGGTAATTTTGTTTATTTTTGTTTTAATGTATTAACCATACCTGTAGTTTTGCTACATTTTTGCTACTCAATGAAGAACACAATGCTTTTTTATGATAATATGTTCTTACAATTCCCATCTGTGCTCTTTGATTCTCTCATGGCTTTAAAAAAACAGCAAATTCAAGGGCAAAAGGAGATTAATGATGTTAATTAATATAAACTCAGAATGTTAACACTGTCTCAGTGTTTCTATCTGCTTAGAAAGAACTTTTTAAATTGTGAATTCTGTTTCCTGTCTCACAGTACAATTTTTATATTTTAGAATATGAAGAAGATTTTGAAGCAGATGAAGAAGGTAATGAAGAGGGACAGACTGGTGATCAAATGAATGGAATGTCAGAGTCATCCTCAGATGATAAAAACCATAAATTAGACTATGGAAAGGAGAGTGAAACCTCATCTCAGAAGGCACTGCAGGCCTCTGACAGTGAGAAAGATGAAAGTGATGGACATTCTGATGACAAGGACTCTGAAGATGATCTACAAGGTTAGTTTTGTTCATAACAAGGCTTGGAGAAGCTGACCTGATGCATGTTTTACAGTTTGCATGTGTCCAGTGTGTATGTATAGTCTACATAGGAAAACCTGTGCCCTTCCTAATGAAAAGCTAAAAGACAGCTGTTTTAGCTGTTGATAACTGTGACACTGAAGTGCAGGCAGCCCCTGGCAGTGAGATGGGCCTTTGCTGAGCTGTTCAGGGACCAAGATGGAGATGGAGCCAGGCAGCAGGCTGGCTCTCAGAACCCTGGCAGGCCAGCCCTCCGTGTCAGCAGGCACTCACACGTGGGAATCTGTGACCCCTTACACCTTCTGAGGGGTCCGAGGAAACCTGACAGGCCACCCTGGGTTTTAAAACTGCTGTCTTTAGTGGCCCTGAATATGCCCCAAATTTATCTGGCTGTGCCAGAGATCTGGAAATAGTTAGATGGTGTAAAAGGAAAGGCAATGGTGCTGTGTGGGGCTGGGAGTTGGACGTGATCTTCATGGGCCCCCTCCAGCTCAGCTGGTTCTGTGGTTCTGTGGTTCTGTCTGTAGAGGAACCCACTTGGTTTTCCCGTGATGGAGCAGTGGGTGGGTATCGTAGCAGGGGTGGGTACTCTGAGTGGGTATCGTAGCAGGGGTCCCCATAGCAGGGTAATAATTAGCATCGACTCCATGATTGCAGAAGGCTGATCAATAGCTTTATTGAACTATACTATATCATACTACTATACTATATTACTGTTCTGTTAAGAAACACTCATTGCTCTCGCAGACAGTCCGATACAGACTGACCAGATTTGTTAATTGAAATCTAAACACCATCACCATGGGCTAATTAGGAAATCACCTTTTGGTAAACAAATCTTTGTAACCCATTCACATATGCACAACAACAGGTGCAACAAGTGAAGATAATAATTGTTTCTCATTCTTTTCTCTGAACTTTCTCACAGCTTCTCACAGCTTCCCAGGAAAATCCTGGGGAAGCTATCTCTCTCTGTTCAGAGTAATCTTGTGATTACTACAAGTGGGAATCTTTAAACTGGGGCTGTAAGGTTTCTTGGTGCAATATGTTTTTCAGAACATGCACTTCTGCATGGATTATAGTTCTGACACACTTATTTTCTTGGCCTGACTGAATCTTTCGGTCTTGAGTTAGACCAATCTCTTCTTGAACCCATGTAGGTTGTGGGCAGCAGCAAGGCTGTGCAGCAGTCAGCTCTGCTGTTCAGCTCACTGTTAGATGAAGGATTACAGCCTTTTTTCTCCTCAAATTTTCCATTTATGAATTTAATATGATGATATCTGTATATTTTTTAGAGGAGACAGTGAGCTTCATCTCCAGTTCAACCTGAAGGGTTTACACAAGATTTTGGAGATCTTTCTAATATTCAATGAGTTAACAGAAGGGCACTGAGGGATTGTTGCCATCGTTGAAGTCTTTTATCAAATGAAGCTCAAGAGTCTGTGCTAAACCCTGTCTGAGCCATATTTAGAGGTGCATTTGGAGGTGTATTTCTGTGTGATTGATAGAACTACTCTGATTTATTTTCATTATCAGATAAAAACCCTGCATGTTAAATGGCTTTAATTTTAATACTTCATACATCTGGGCAATGTTCTTCTATTTACACTTACTGGAATTTTGTCACAATATCCTCAGATGGTATAATTCAAAGAATGCTATTGGATGGGATTGTGTCCCTTTGTGAGTGCCCAGTGAATGCAGAGGTTAAGTGACAAGTACTAAATTAAAGTTTGCTGTTTTCAGAGAGGAGGCCTGCAGACTCTCTCTCATCCATGAGAACTCAGTGCAGCACTGAGACCGACTCTCATGCTGAAATGATGGCAGACAATGTGAATGGCAAAGAGGACTGCAATATCAAAAGTATATCTGATAATGCAGCACATGCACACTATGGAAATGAGAATGGGGAGAAGAAACTACTCAGAGCAGAGGAAAATCAGGAGAATTCTGCGCTGGAAAAGAAAGGGATAGATGAAGCAGAAAAGACAAAAACAGAAGACCTAACAGCAAAGGAAGATACTGGAATTTTTCATGAAAACATAATGGCAATGCAGCATCAAAATCCTGAGGTTAATGGGGAATTCAAACAGACTGGGTCAGGAGAAAGTAACATGAATGAAGAGGAGAAATGTCCTCCAGCACCTTGGGAAAGCAGGGTATTGAACATGGAGGATGGCAATGAGGAGGCTCCTTGGAGTGAGGAAGGAGGTGGTGAGTACAGTCCCTCTGCACAGCTCTGCAGCCTGTGCTGCTGCATTTGCCTTGTGCTCATTTGGGGAGTTGCTGGAGCTGCTGTGAGCTCAATATCCACTCAGAACATTAACACTGGCTCAGTGTTTCTCTGCTAGTGTTTCAAGTGTGAGGATTTGTCAAAAAATGAATTTTAAACCATTTTAAAGCTGAGATGGCTGAATGGCTTCTACTCCCCTTTTACTCTTTAATGGTTTCTCTTTCTTGCTTCCTGTTTTCTTTCTGATAGTTTTTGAAGATTGCAAACCAGTCCAGAAGGAAATAGCAAAAGCAACTGGAAATGATCATCCTGTGAATTCTGACCCCGAGCCTGGTGATTTGTGTGCCAATGAGGAAGAAAGGAATGCAGCAAATACAGAGAGTGGTGCCAGTGGAGGTAAGATTGGCTGTCAGTCAGGGACAAGGATTAAGTTACTCCCCTGAAGTCTTTTAACAGAAGTGTTGGCCCTTTCCCTTTCCTTTGGCTATCAAAGTCTCCTTCTGCTTTTTTTCTTTCCTAACTTGTAAAAAATCAGGTGACGACTAGCTGGCATCTGTAGTCATGTATAATTAATGCTTTTTTGGCTGTTAAATGGCTCTAGGAGAAGAATCCAGAACATGAAAAAACTGTGAGTCAGGAAATAGATGTGGAAAGCAGGAATGTAGTGAGGTTCCATGTGCTTTCTGCTAGTGTGCAGCCTCCTTGGGAAATGCCTTGGTTCCCAGGGGCAGGAATTAACCTTGTATTATTCCCTGGTGTAATTACAGAATCCACAGGAAGCTGAGTGCTCTTTGTCCTTTCTGTGCATATTTCACATGAGCAGTTTGTCAGCTATTCCTGACTTTGAGTGTCACTGTCAAGCTTATAGGTGTTGCACACACACAAGCTCCCTGCAGGTAGGGAGGGAGGCAGAGCAGGCAGGACAAGCATGACTGGCCTTGCATCAACAGTTTTAGTTAAATTCTTTATGCCAGATGCCAGAACAGCAGTACTAAAGACACAGCCAGAGCGCAGGGATGCGATGAGAAGCATCACAGCAAGTTCTCTCTGGGTGCCCAGGCTGATGTCCCTCATTGCGGAGCAGAAATGCTCCTTTAGCACTAACCCTGTGAAGCATGTAACACTGTTGTGGTGCTGAGTAAACCAACACTTGGTTATTTCCCGGTAGCACCAGCTGGAAGTTTCGTGGCAGAAGGGAGGAGAAGCCCTGATGTGCAAGAAACAGCAGGACAGGCGGTGCGAGAAGAGGTGGTGACAGGGCCGGGTCAAGCCCTGGAGCAGGATGCTGCTGCTGAAGGAGATGCTGGCAGCCGAGAGCCTGCAGGAGAAGCTGCACGGGCAGGGGATTCGCTGCCCCAGGCGGGCGCGGGGGCTGCGCTGGAGGAATCCGCACCTGGGGACGGCGCCGTGGCAGAGGAACATCCCAGAGGAAAGGGAACAGGGGAGGCAGTGCAGCTGGGCACAGAGGTGTCAGCTGGGGAGCAGGAGGTGCTGGTGGAGCGGATGGAGAGAGAGGTGGCGCTGGGCAAGCCAGCAACTCGGGGAGAGCGGCCGGGATGGGAGGCAGGCAGAGCCGTGCCCCAGGGACAGGAGGGGGCTGCGGGGACCGCTGAGGAGGAGGCTGCAGAGGAAGGCCTGAAAGCGGCAGGGCCGCCAGCAGAGGAGGAGGTGGGTGAGCCAGAGTCCGAGGCAGGGAAGTCCCTGGGGCAGGGAGAGTCTGCAGGGAAGGACACGATGGTGGGTGCTGGGTCAGAGGGAGAGGAGGCTGCGGAGGATGCTGATGTGGCAGCAGATGGGAATGCCAGAGCTGTCGGCCCTGAGGGAGAAAAGGCTGTTGAAGAAGACATTTCTGAAGGGGAGGAGGCTATGGAGAAGCCTGGGGCTCTCTGGGAAGCACTAGGGGATATGGAAACAGGAGAAGCAATGTCTGGAGAGGAAGGGTTTGTAAAGCCAGGTGAGTTTTCCCAGCTGAAAGTGTCAGGGGAAGAGTGGATGGAGATGGGGAAAGCTGACACAGGAGCAGTAGCACTTGACAGTGCTCAGGCTCTCCAGAAAGTGGACACGATGGAAGAATCTGTGGAGCCTGACAAGGGTCCTGTACTGGAAGTGGCACCTGGGTTAGGGGCACTGGGGGGTGCTCAGGAGGGTCCTGTCACTGAAGGGTTGTCAAGGGTGGAGGAGACGCCGGCAGCGCAGGAGGAGGAGGGTGCAGCAGAAACCTGTCTGAGGAGCAGAAACCCGTCTGAGGGCAGCAAAGCAGAGACTGAGAGAGCAGTGGAAGGAAAACCCGAAGGAGAGGTGGTGGGAGGGTCTGCAGGGGCGGCCGGAGCGGGCTCGGGAGATGAAGAGGAGGCCACAGATGGAGCAGGAGGTTCAGAGGTGCCGGCAGCCGGGACAGAGGGGTGGCTGAGGTGTGGACCAGCGAGCGGGAAGGAGAGGGCTCCCGGGGAGGGGGTGGTGGGCGAGGCGGCGCTGCCGCCGCCGGGGCTGTGCGGGGGCCGGGCCGGCGAGCCCGGGCTGGTGGCCGTCGCTGTGCTGGGCGGGCAGGCCGGGCGAGGAGCCCTGCCCGGGGGGCGGGCAGTGCCCGGGGCTGGCGGGGTGCGCACGGGGGCGGTGGCACAGGAGCGGGTGGCAGGAGCAGCGCTGGGGGCACAGAGCAGGACAGGGGCGGCAGCGGCAGAGGAGGTGTCAGCCGCGGGGAGGGCGGCGGGCGGGGAGGCCGGGGAAGGGCTGGCCGAGGCCCCTGCGGCTGGCGGGCGAGCGGCGAAGCCGGAGGCAGCAGCAGGGTGCGGGGGACGGGGAGCGATGCCGGCGGGAGCCGAGGGCCGGCGGGAGGCGGAGCGGGAGCCGGGCGCGGTGCGGGCCGGGTCCCCACGGCACCGAGAGGCGCTGGGAGCGGTGCCGGGGGCACGGCCGGCTGCGGGGGCCGCCCCGCGCACCCCTGCCCGTGGGGACGGGCCGGCGGCGCCGAGGGGCAGAGCAGGGTCCGCAGGAGGCGAGGGGCTGTGCCTGGGCACCCAGCCACAGCCGGCAGCTCCAGAGACAGGGACTGCGCGGGGCAGGGACGGGCAGGAGCAGGAGACAGAGCAGGCAGCAGGGAAAGCCGAGGGGGAACAGCCGAGTCCCTGTGAAAACACGAGCGAGGGCGAGGTGGCGGATGTCTCGGCGAGTGCAGGGACCGCTGCGGGAGCCAGGGAGCCGAGGAAGGACAGTCCCGTCGGAGGGAGCCCAGGGGTCCCGGCAGGCGCTGCCGTGGGCGAGAGGAGCCGCAGCTCCCGTCAGGTGAGTCCTGCGTGGGTCACTGCCCCCAGCCGTCCCCAGGTTGATTTCTGTCGGAGACAGGGGATGCACCACCTCGCCCCATTCCTTATCCATTCCTTAAATGTCTGCTGATGGTAGCTGGGTCAGGGGATGATAAATCCTTTTGGGTGGCGGCTTCTGCATTGTTTCCTACTCCCAAAATCCCGTGCAAATAAATCGCTTTGCTGTAGCACTAATTGTCACAACCCCTCCGCTCTCCCTCCCCTCCGGCCGTGCATATCAGCTCCCTCTACCCAGCATGTCGCAGTTCTGGTGGCATCGGGTGAGCCCTGGGAGCACTCGGCTTCCCTGTTACTCTGGGCTCTCCTTGTAGATGTCACAGCAGTACCTCAGTAGGTCTGAGTTCAGCACGTTTTCTGTGATGTTTGGTCACTGTTTTGTAGGACAGTGCAAACCCAGAGCCACTCATCGTGTCCTCAGAACAACCTCAGGATGGGGATGAAACTCTGCTCTGAGCTTTTTCTGCAGCTCCTCAGTGTTGTGTCCTGCAACATGCACTCAGCTGGCCGTGGGTTCGTGCGGTTGGGATGTCACTCCTCTCTTCACCCTGTGAGCACCACAGCCACCTGTCACGTTTCACTGGAGCAGATCCTCAGCGTGCAGTGCACAACTGAAACAAGCCTGTGTTTGCCAGCCCAGGAAACAGCACTCCTTCGCAAGGATGAAGACAGGAATCACAAGGATTGTTCCACAGCTGTCTGGCTTGTTTTTCTTGAAAACCAGAGAAATAGTGGACTGACTGAACTTCCCCTCCTCCCCTAGGCACCACCTGCAGGCAGGCAGGCAGGGCTTTTATCTTGGGGTCTTCCCTGTCCCGTGCTAGGGGAAGGGAGTCCTCCTGCATGTGCAGTGCCCCCTGTGCCAGGAGGTGTGTGGGCATCCCTCCCCTTGGGCATCCAGGCTTGATGCTGGCCACACCTCAAGGCATTCTCAGCATGCGGAAATGTTGTTGAAAGTTGTTAAATCAGAACAATTCTAGAAGTATTTGTAAATGCATAAAGCCTGGCCTTCTGCTTTTGCTGGAGTCATTCAGGAGTGGTGCATGGAACCTCAGTGAGGCTGCCAGGAGGGAGGTCAGTTTAGAGTTGTCTCAGCCTGGTGCTGGCTGCCCATCTCTGCTGCCCAAGGCTCTTGTCAACTCTGCTGCACCTCTGCAACACTGGGACCCCCAAGACCCTTTAGGGCTGGGCACCTGGGGCTGGGTGTGCAGCAACCCCGAGGCACTCTAAGCTTGGTGGGTGCAGCAGACTCAGCCCCACACAGTGGGGAACTGTAACTGGAAAAGACACTGAAATGAGTAGTTGAGTGGATTGGTGCTGTGAGTAACTTCAGATCAATATATGTAGAACTGGAAACTCAAGTGTGATCAAGTGGTTGCTGTGTGTTTGCTCCTAGAGACGTTCCTGTACTGGAGATGGTTGCATTTCTGTGTTCAGTCTGGACGTGTCTCAGAGGGTTGTGTTTTCTGTGTCCATACCCATGCCTACATATTCACTCAGGCCTATTAAATACCTGTACCAGTCTGTGCATCTCCTTCAATTTGTGCCAGGGTTTTAACTGTAGGAATAACTCCTGCCAGTGCAGCAGGGCCTGAGCTTTGGTGTGTGTCCCTGCTTGCCAGTGGGCTGACTGATGCTGGGCTGCTTGTGCCACTCTTGTGCAGGTGCCCCGCTAAAGCTCATGCCCAGGACTGTGGGCATGGCCACACCTGGGTGTTCGGACACGTGGGTGGCAATTCCAGGGTTACAGGTGAGCAGAGACAGAGGGATGCAGGGATTTGCCTCTGCAGATTCTCTGGGAGCTGCTCTGGGGCTGCAGGAGACCCAGAGCATCAGAGAAGGCCTTGATGAACAGAGCAGTGCGACTGTAAGGAACTGGAAAACTGATAGATCATTATTTAACATTCTTGAAAAAGTTATCAGTGACCTTATGTGTATGGTTGTAACAGTTGAGGGAAAGAATCCTGTGGCTAGGAACACATATATGGACTTCCAAAACATTAGTGTCTCTGTCATTTGAGCAGGCAGAAGTTTGGTAATAAGCAAAGCCATGGAAATGGGTAATTGTGTAGGTTTGGAAAAGCTTCCCATGGTCCTTTCTGCTCTCCTATATGGTGCTAATTAGTAATTAACTTCAAAGTGAAAAGTAGGTTGCACTTGGGGAAAAACAAGATGTGCAGCAAAAAGAAAAAAAAAAGACTAATTATTAAAGCGAGCATATGTGAGCAAAGCAAACTATCCAACAGTGTAGCCACTGGCAAAACTCATTCTTGGCTCATCAGGAAGGCTTTTTTAACTCCCTGAAGTGTCAGGTATTTTCAGTTGCCTGTCATTGGCTTCTGATGGTGCCTCAGATGTTCCTCAAACAGCTGGAACATGGTGACATTCCACAGCTGAGAAGATGCATTTCATCAGTTCAAAACCATGCCAGCTGTGCACTGCGGACACAGGATGGGAAAAATTTAAAGTCTATCTCCTGGAACTGTGCAGCAAGCCTGGCATTGCTGGCAGATATGTGGAATAGTGACTCAGAGACACCACCAAGGATGCTGGGTGTGGACAGCATGGGCAGCTCATCCATCTGTCTGAAACAAGGGCTGCAAGGTGAGTTTCCTGCCTGGGAGTTGCCTGAGTGGTTTTGGGGCTCAGCTGTACAAAGCAGAGTGGACCAACCTCAGCCTGCCCATTGGGGCTGAACCTCTGAGGCAGCCCTTCAGTCCTGGCTTCGCTGTCCTGGCTGTCCTGTGCCATGCTGTGCCATGCTGGGGAATGTTGGGGCCTGCTGCAGGAATGCTGGGCTCATTTCTGGCTGCTGTCCAAACCCTTGTCTGGTTGGACGCCAGATTATTTTTATCTGGAGCACCTATTGTGGATATGTTAAACAATTTAAAATATCACTACAGCTGCCAGGCACTGGCAGGTCTCCAAAGCAGGGTAAGAATCCTCTTAGCATCTCGTTCTTGGTAAATAGCTTGGTATGCTGGGGCTTCTCTGGGAACAGCACAGGCTACTTGCACTCTCACAAACTGCTTTGGAACATGTTCTACTCATTTACATTTTTCAGAGTTTTTGTTTGTTTCACTAAGTGATCACTCCTATGAAACACGTTTTCCCCCTGAGCCTGATTTTCTTCTATAGAGAGCAATTAACTAAAACATTGTATCCTTCAAGGAACTGTTAATTTTAATTAGTATTAAAATTAGTTGCCAGCACTTGTCTTTATAAAGAGCTTTTAAGCTAAAAAAGTTTGGATTTGATATTTTTTGTTGTTGTTTCCATGTGTTCGCTTCTGACATGTTCTGAGAAGGTGCTCAGGGATGACAGCAGCAGCTCAGGTATCAGTGAGTATACAGAGGTATTAATGCACATGAAGTCTGCTTCCTTGCTCCACTTTTGTTTCTCTAATCCAGTTTAGTTTCTGGTTTTGAGGCCCAGTCACTGAATGCAGAGTCACTATATAGTTACTTTAAGCAAGGGAAAAAGATAGAATGCAGAGATATTTGTAAGAAAAAAAAAAATCCTGTTGAAAAAGAATCAGTGCTGGAACTATTTTTCAGATATGACAACAGATCCTTTCTGCATCAGTGGTGTTTCTGGCCAATGCAAAGACCAAGGAATGAGACCTAATATCTATCCACTCTCTTTCATCAGCCTATTCCCTGCCTGTGCTTCTATAGCTCAGTCATGTGGAGCAGATCATCACCTGGCCAATTAGAGTCATGTAGGCAATTTTCATCAGCATCCCAGATGCAGCTTCTCCCTCCTGCTCTGCCCCTCTTCCCTCACAGCACGCAAACTGCCAACCTTGCTTGTACTCCTAGAAAAAATAGAATAGATTTCCTCCAGTTGTAGACAAATTGGATGCTTTTTTTGTTGTGGTTTGCTGGAGCTTTATAGTTCCTCTTGTTCAGCCCCTTCCATGGAAATCTTATGACTTCTTGGGCCAGGAGATTGCAGACAGGGTCCTTGTGAACCCCATCCCAGGCTTTCCTGTGTGTTTATTCTGAGATTTCTATTGTCCCAGCAGCTGCTGGTGTAAATGGAACAGCACCTGAGACATGAGCCCAGTGGAGCTGTGGTAACCACTGACTGGTACCCGGGCAGTGCTGGGAGAGCTGTGACTGAGCAGTAACAGCTTCTCCCCATTCAACCTTTGAGCAGGTGAAACAGAACAAAGGGAAAATGACCTCTATACTTTGCTTAGTGAAATCTTCCCCATTTTTATTGCTTCAGCACTGTTGAAGTAATGGTAGGTGTGGCAGCAGCATCGTCAGAGCCCACCATGCAGTCATAGCTCATGTCTGTCACACTGCTTGAGGCCTCTTTGCATACCTGCTTCAGGGATCAAGGCTGGGGAAAAACAACATCCTCAGTAACACCACAGAACCCTGCCATCCATGGGAAATACTGATTCCTGCTCAGACAGGAAGGCAGCTCTGCCTCGGCCACACAGACAGTATTACAGATACCTTTTGTTAATTCGAAAAAAGACCCCAGAAAATAACAGCGTGATTAACTCTGTAATTGCTTCTAGAGGAAGAGTTCAACTGCCTTGCCTCTAGTCTTTTTTTTAATGCTCCATGGTCAGAGTTGCTGCTGCAGGGCATGGGGTGGTCAGCTGAGGGAGATGCAAAAGCAGAATGCAGGACAGGGACATCTGTCATCAACACTAAAGCTGCTCAGTCCAGGGATGTCCGTGTGCCACTCGGTGCCATGGTGATGGCCAGGCTGGGGCGGGTGGACGCTCCCTCCCTCAGCTGCTGTCCTCCAAGCTGCTGCTGCAGGAGTGGAACCTCATGGTGCTCAAGGGGTCGGACACGTACCCTGAGGAGCAGAGAGGGTCCCTGCAGCTGGCACAGAGTGCTCCCCAGCCCTGCCCCGCAGTGCCAGCACAGCAGCCTGTCCTGTGCTCCGGGGGCTGGGGGGCACTCTGCACAGCTCACCGTTTTTGTCCACGGCTGGGTAGTGGAAGTTCCTTCTCATGTCATCCAGAGACAGGCCCTGAGAAGGGGGTTGCCCAGTGCTGCAATTCAAGCAGGAGGTGTCAGTTTGCAAGACTGATGAGGGCACATCTCCAGACTGAGAACTTTTCTTCCCAAGTGGAAGGAAAGAACAGTACCATCAGACATCAGCCTGGGGCCCGGCCACTGCTGTGCAGTAAACAAAAAGGAAGAATAAGTCATGAAGTGAGACCATGACCCCCAGGCCTGCTGGCACTCAGTTACCCTCCTGAGTAACTGCCCTCAAATACCCCATTTGGGGCTTCACAGCTGTCTCCAGATTACCATCTTGAACACAATTCCAGGCATCAGTCCAGGGTCATTGACATGTTTTTTGTGTGTCTCTGCTAAAAGGTCCTTGCAAATTGATTTCTCAGGCAAAGAAGATGGAATTATCCTCCAGTCATGGACCAAATCCACTGTCCTGCCAACATGTGGTTCATCCCAGATCCTAGGGATGGGAGTTGCTATGTTTGCCCTTGAAACCAGTTCTCCGAGTGGTAAGGTATGATACTTCTGGTATTTACTTAATGGTACAATAATATAGAACCCATGTGTGTCCCTGCCTTAAAAAACATCAGGAGTTCTTACTATTCTGTAGTCATGAAATGAGTGATACCCAGCTTTTAGGTTGTACCCTGGTAGGATCAGTCCCAGCAATGCTGACTCCCACAAACCTCTGCAAGGCTCTTCCTTACATAGCTGTCTCCTGCCACTGTACATGCTGGAAGGCTCTGGATTCTGTCTGTCTGTCCATCTGTCCCTTCCCTTCTCAGCAAGGACACTTTCACCCTCCCAGTGGCAGCCTGGGCTCTGTGACGGACAAGGTGATGGCACAGATCCAGAGCTCCCTCCTAGTCCTGCCACACCACCTCCCAGCAGCACAGCCCACTTGTGTCCTCCAGCCAGGCCAGGGGAGCCCCCGGGCCCGGGGCTGTACCCACCCCTGGGACCAGGCAGCGTAGGCTCGCGCGTTGACGGCGTATTCCAGCTCGAACCGAGAGCGCAGGGCGGCCACGTGGCTGCGCCCAGGGCCACCCCGGGCCACCAGGCAGTCCGAGGAGGAGGAGGGAGACAGGGACCCGCTGCTGTTGCTGGAGGCTGGAGACATTAACTGGATAAAAAAAAAACAATAAAGGTACCATTATGGCATATTTACGAGTCCTTTCTCATCTCTCTCTCATAAGTCGTATCCCACTTTTCTTTGGACTTTTCCAGCAGCTCCAAAGCCACCGCTGTCCTCAGCTGCTGCCACTGTCCCTGTCCCCATCTGCACTCCCATCTGCGTGCACACACACAGACCTCCCCTGCTGGCAGTGGGCCCTTACCTCAATATTGCACAGACACTCCTCCAACTTTGTGACAACTTCTGAAAACTCTGGTCTCCCCTGAGAACACAACAGGAAAAGCAGAGCTGGGTTAAAAATGGGAGGAGGCAGATCTGATGTGGTTATATTGACACACAGGGAAGGGATGAGCCACAGGCCCCATCATTTCCCCTCTCTGAATTTCATGGCATATCTGGGAATCTGATGAAATCTGCAAGTTCAGTGCTGAGCTACAACATAAAGATGTGTGAACTTTATGAACTTTAACTGCAATTCAGCTTTTTTTATGTAACATTTAGATTTGAGCTAATGATGGCTAGATCACAAAAAAACTATCAAGAAATTATTTGCTCTGCTCTTTGCCCATGAACAGGACTTCAGACACAGCAAACAGCAGAGATGAGCAGTGGACAAGTTCCTGGCCAGCCTGCCTGTATGGCCATCCTCATCCCTCCCTTGTCCATGAGAGATGCACTTAATAAAACTAAATGTTTACTTCTTTGCAGAGCTCAGCCCTAGGCCTAACGGCAAATTCTCTGGCTCTAATTAAAGCTCACAAATCCAATTAGCCAATGAAAAAGGCTTCTCGGGAGATGCTGCTAATCTTCTAATCACCAGTTTGCCTTTGGAAACAGCTGCTGTCAAAAGTTTCTGGGAAACAGATGTTCAAGTACCTGATAAATAGAAACAGGGACATGTCACATGGGAACTAGTTTTTCAGCTGGGATGAGCCTTGAATGAAATTAAAGACAAATAAAAGGATAAATTTTCTAACTTGGAGGCATTTCATGGCCATCCAGCAAAACTCCTACAGGTATACTCCATTTTCTGCCTTTTTTTTTTTCCTTTAAACTGAGCAGACCTTGTGGATAATTTTGACCTGTGAACACTTGTTGAGCCACTAAACTCACAATTTTTCCATAACAGATGGCAGCAAAACACTTTTAGTAAAGCAAAATAGAGCCTAATAGAGAACAGTAGCAAAAAAAAAACCCTTAATAAAGATAATTTTGACAAGGTTTTGCTCAGATCTTGTGTGAAGTTCTGGCCATCCATGGGCTCATTGACCCATCATTTGTTTTATAGTTCTGTCTTGAAGCTCTAAAACACTGGCAAGATGAACTGACATTGGAGTCACAAATGGGTAACAAACTGCACTGGGTCTCTGAAAAGATGGTTTCTCCTTATAGGGGCTGACTGGCTGTGAGCATGCTGACAAGACACAGGGACTGCACCCATCTCAGTGCCTGCTTAAGTCAGCACTTTAATATGACACTTTGTTCATGAATTTAAAATGAATGTGTGTTACGTGCTGTCATTAACCAATTCTTACAAAAATCTGAGAGTAGCAAGGAATTTTCTACTCACTCTGTAACAGCTCAAGTCATAATCAGCATTACATGATTAATTAAGTTTGTTGAAAGGCTAAATGTTAATTTATTTTCCTCCTCAATTCACCAACTCTCCTGTCTTTCCTGGGACACCCCATTGCCTGCCCGGGAGTTTCTGCAGTGACCCTTCCCACAGAAACAGAAGTGATTTTGGGGGCATCAGCCAGAGCAAAGTGTCCATTTTCCCTCTGCTGGGAGACTCACCTCAGGACAGGCGTTCCAGCCCCTCATCAGCAAGGCAGAGATGGGCTTGGGGATGGAGTAGCCGATGGGGGGGCGGATGTGGTGGTAAGCCATGTCTGCTGCTGCTGCAGCTGCACGGGACAGCCAGAGACACCCGTCAGCCCCAGAGCCACCCTGCTCCCAGGAACTACCCTACCCACCCCTGAGACACCCGTCAGCCCCAGAGCCACCCCAGAACACCCCTAACCCACCCCTGAGACACCCGTCAGCCCCAGAGCCACCCCAGAACACCCCTAACCCACCCCTGAGACACGTGTCAGCCCCAGAGCCACCCCAGAACACCCCTACCCACCTCTGAGACACCCGTCAGCCCCAGAGCCACCCCAGAACACCCCTACCCACCTCTGAGACACCCGTCAGCCCCAGAGCCACCCCAGAACACCCCTACCCACCCCTGAGACACCCAGCAGGTATGGAAACCTACTGCTGAGCCATCCAACCAACTAGCAAAGGCTGGATGAAGGCTGGAGGTTAAAGGAGGCTTTTGCCATCAGACCAAGAGCAGACTGAGATGCCCATCACCATGGCCACAGGCCCACCTCTGGTCACAGGTCAGACAGCAGTGAGGGTCTCACTGGCAAAGGGGGCTGAACCCTCCCTCCTTACCCATGGCCGCCCTCCTTCCTCCTGGGCCTGGCCATGTCCTGCAGCACTCATGACCTCTGACAGCTCTTTTTCAGACATCCAGGGGTCAGAATCTCAGGAGTGCAAAGTGCAGCCCTGGAAATGTTGCTCTGCTGTTGTACACCCCCCCTTCCCCCCGTTGTGGATGCTGTCCTGAGGCACACCCAGGAGATGTACCAAGGAATGGCTTTGCAATCCCAACAATCATGGACACCCTGCACTCACAGCGTCTTGTTCCTAGTCCTAGACCTAGATAGGATAGTTCTGTGCTCTACACCAAATGCAATATCTCAGCACTTGATAACACACAGCAGTATGATATGGGTAAAAATCACACAGTGTAGCTACTTCTTGACTTCAGAGAAATTTAAACTACTAATTCATTGAGCATGTTACCTGGTTTGAGGTGAGCAAAGGGAATTTCCCCTGTTAACAGCTCCCAGAGGCACAGAGCGTAGCTGAAGACATCGGCTTTGATGGTGTACCTTGTGCACTGGGTGAACACCTCAGGGGCCATCCAGCGCAGGTTCTGTGCACCAGGAGACAGCGACCACACGTTAGCAGTGTTTGCTTCCTCACACAAACTGTGCACCTATTCCTGTGTTTGTATGTGTGTTTTCCTTTGTTTCCTTATCTCCTGCCTCCATCACTCAATAAAATAATTGGCAATCTGCCAGGAAAAAACGAGTCTCACCTGGCTTGCAAGATCAAGTCAGTGTGTAACAGTGTTATATGGAACTGCATTAGCTTGGTGCTGTCTCAGGTCTATAGAGCCAGGCTGAGCTGGCTCAAAACATCACAGCAGGGTGAGAATAAAAACCCCAGGCTCGAGGACTGAGAGATATATGCATATATGGCATATAAAAAGAATTAACTACTGCTGCAGCTGGCAGAAGTAAAAGCTGGCAATAGCTGCATTGCACTGGGGCTGCTCTTTTGGTGTCTTGCTGCTCTCTGCAGGCCCCAGTTGTGAGGCTGCTCACAAGCAACTTGTCTCTTCCTGGGGTAATGGGTTCAGGGTGGATTTTCAGAGTTCTTGTGCTCCCTCCTCTCCAACGACACAGTGAGTGCCACTACTCAGAGGTAAAGAACTGCTTGCCAAGGCCTGGAGTAGCACCACCCATCCCCTGGCACTGCCGCTCCATTCCATGCCATCACCCATGCCAGCCCACATCAACAGTTGGGATGATGTGAACATTCCTGGCCAAGGAGTGACACACAGGACACATCTGGATTCAAACCATGAAGATAACAACTGTCTTGTAAATCTGACTGTGAGCAACGGGCTATTGTGAGGAAAAGAACTGTGAAATAAGGGAACCAGTGCTGAGTAGCTGTTAGAAAAAGGAACCACCTGCCAACAGCATGTGCATAGGTAAGAGTGGATTGAAAACAACTCTCTAGTGAGGAATTGGAGCAATAGAGCTCCAAAGACAGCCTTGTAAGGCATTTTTTTCTGCTGCAGATGTCACATATTCCCTCATCTCTGTTATTGAAGACAGAGGAAAAAAATAAAACCAGGACAGAGAAACATTGAGAGAGATTTAATACTATACCTGTCCATCTATTCCAAGAAACATATTTCCAATGTCTTTTTCTCCTAAGCTGTGTTTCTATATTTGATATTAATTATATGGAATAAAACAAGAAACAAAATAAACAAACCCCAGGTTGTTTTGTCATGTTGTCTTCATCCAGGGATTGCAGAAATCGAGATTCTGAAACAGAGCAAGAAAAAGAATTACTTTCTGGCCAATACACTTATTATACAGAAGTCCTACCTTAAGTACAAATCCACAGGACCTCTCAGTAAGCACATGTTTAATTTTAGAGAATTTGCAATTAATTTATAAGTGTTCCATAAAAACTCCTTACCTCCAAAATCAGCAACTACTGCATGACCATCCTCATACAGAAGAATGTTATGACTGAGGGGAAAAAAAAATATAGGTAATTGTTTGATAGCGTCTTAAAGATGGTGAGAATGTTACAGTTTTTGGCTCATAGCGAAACATGTGAGTTCAAATCACCTCCTTTCACCTCCTTGGATAGCTAAATGTCTATAGGTATGCCTCATATTTACTGTTAGAAAGTACACATTACCCCTGAGAGGGCAAGTCAACCTTTGATCTGCATGCAATAAATCCAGAGAGACTTTCAGAAACTGCCAACAAAAACACAGGGTTTCAAACAAAATGGAAACTTGGGGAAAGACCCACAAGCTGCTTTAGCTAGGTCACAGGTTTCCAGTACCTCTGGAGATGAAGATTTCCCTGCCCCAGTCACTACACCTTCACCGCACAGGGCTGTGGAAGGGCTGAGCAAATCACAGCATACGGAATGTGGACACAACAATGCTCTCAGGATTTTTATCAAATGCTGACTCAGCCAAGGAAATTCAGAAGAGTGAAAAGTGTATGAAAAACAAAAATGAAAAAGTTGGCAAGAGTTTACATGAGGAGGGAAAATGGAAGTAATATTGATGGTCTCAACAAAAAGCACAACTTGCTCATATTAGAGCTGCAGAAACAAACAAGAACAGTCAAGTGAGGAACACAAATTTTACCAGAAAGCAGTCTTAGGACAGAAAAAAAATTTAAGCTCTCCCAAGCAGGACTCCCGCAAATCACTGTCTTCAAGATTTCCACCTTAACCTAAACCCAACCCTTGGGATGATAAATTTAATCATAAAAATGTAACCATGACTCTCTTGATTTGTATTCAATCTGATTTTAGCTCTCATATGTATTTTCCATCAAAACATTGACGTGATTTTAGTATGACATGTGGAATTGTTTTGAGACCCACAGCATATGCCAAATGAAAATACGAATCAAAACCAAGGCCAAACTAGAGAGACTTTTGAAGGCTGTGCTCCAGGGTGGGTGTAGGTACACAAGCCATACAAAGCTGCAGACTTTGCTCTGGTCTTTGCTCAAATTTGGCCTCTGTCAGTAGGGACAAAAATTATCACCATGTCTCAATGTCAATAAACTGCACTGAGCCCTAGCTTCAATTTCAATCTATTCCAGGATTGTGTAGACATGAATAAATCCAACTTGACAAGTCAAGACATAATGAAGACCTAGGCTGACAGTTTTTGTGGAGAAGCAGAGAAATCAAATGGAAATCTCTTTGTCCTCATGGCATGCATCAGCCTTTCATAGAATCACAGGATCTTTGAGACTGGAAAAGAAGTCTCCAAGACCTCAAAGATCACAGAGTCCAATCTGTGACCAACCCCCGCCTTGTCCCCAGCCCAGAGCACTGAGTGCCATGTCCAGTTGTTCCTTGGACACCACCAGGGATGGGAAATCTGCCACTGCCCTGGGCAGCCTCTTTCAATGCTTGACCACCCTTTCAGTGAAGAAATCCTCCCTGATGCCCACCTTGAACCTCCCCTGGCCTAGGAACTGACCAGCAGTGCTGAAATGCTCATCTTGGTGCTGAGTGGATTGATATCTGAGAACAGGAAGCAGACTGTGAGAGGTTTTGTTAGTCTCTTGCCTCCAGGGAGCAGTAATGTCACTGATTTTTCTTTTTTAAAGTAAAAAATACACCCCACAGAAATAAGGCTTGGAAGGTACCTCTTAAAAATGCTGTTATTGCCTCAGTGACACTTGCAAATTTGAAAACCTCAGATGAAACAGGTACTTTTAAGCTTGTGTTTTGAGAAATACAGCAATAAAAATGCAAGATGAACTAAGCTGGCAGAAGACCAATACTGAGTCCAGTAAAATCAGAAATAAATTGTTTTCTGTTAAGGTCACAGAGGGATTGCAGTGGTGAGAGCAGGCATTGTTCTCTTCATGAAACCATGGAAGGAAGAAAACGAGATAAGAAGGAGGAGTGTGCAATCATCCTGGCTTTGGGAAAGGACATGGTGCTGGAGTCTGCCAGGAACAGAGGCTTCTCTCTCCCATGGCAAGTGACAGGCTCAGCACATCCCTTTCACAGGGATTTGGGCCATTAAAAGTTCCTTCGCCTTTCACACACTATGGGTGTAATGAAAAGCAATGGATATTTTAGGATTTCACAAGGGATATTTCAACAAAGAGGAGTCGCAGACTCCATCCTCATTACCACCAGGCTGCTGTCCTGTCTTTCATCTCCCTCACCAAGCAGCTCTCAGAAGTGTTCACAGATAGTTAGAGTCATCAAAAGCAGGTCAGTCGCTCAAAGGCTTCCTCCAGCCATGTTCAGCTGTTATGGCTTAAATTAAATGGATAATAAAATGGTCTCTCTTTTATTAAAGTGCTATAATCATTGTGGCTGCCATCCCTCACCATGGTGTAAGTGGTAGTAAGTTGATGCATGTCACCATTTCTGATGGCTGTCAGAACTGAAAAGCAAAATAAAACTCCCAATTATTCTTCAAATGGAAGGATAACCCCTTTTCCAGAGTAGAGACACAAAAGATTAATTTTCTTCTCTTTTCTGTCAAGCCATGTTGCAGGTTTATTTAATGCATTATATGCAGTGCATTAGATTTCAGAATTCACAAAGGTGGTTATGAGTTATGTGAAAATTTAAGGTAAAAAATATGAGGCTCCTGTGAAGTCACTGGCAAAACTTAACACAGAATTTCACTCTTAGTCTTTCTCTTAAGCTGTTGCAAAGATTTTCATCTGGTAATTGTGCCTGTGGGTTGGCTGGGACTCATGCTGCAAACATGACTCCTGCTCTTGCACTCAGCTTTCAGAAGTTGAGCTCTCTCAGCAGCACACATCAATGGCACCAACAACCCTAGAGCACATTATCTTCTGACCCTTATAAATACGACCTATATGACTTCTGCAGAGCTTTCTGGCTCTCTAGGAAGATACTGGTTTGGGTTTTCTTTTGAGGAAATCGTTATTTAAAATCCTTCAATGCAGAACTGTTCTCCTAAGAGCCACCAAGGCACGGAGCTGTACTGAGGTCTGAGCCTTGGCTGCCCTGGTCTGAGCCTTGGCTCCCCCAGAGCAGTTCCACAGGCTGCAGTCAGGCACGGGGCTCTTGGCTCGTGCCCCTGCCTCAGAAGCAAGGCTGTCCCTCAGAACAACACAGGCTTGTGGCCTGGAAGGACTGGGCAGGATGCAGGTACGTGAAAGAGGCTCATAGGATGGTGGAAGATGCCATGCCAGGGCCTGCTGCCCTTGAGGGCTGACAGAGCTAAGGACCATGTTTTGGCTTTAGCAAAAGGATCGTTTTCATCTCCAATCTTGCAATCACTGCAGCTCAGGTATTTCACCCCCTGTTGCTGAAACATGCACAAGACTGTTTCCTCAGCTAGAACAGAAAGAACAGGCTTTTCCCTGCAGTACCGAGGCCCCAGTGCTCCCACTGGGACACCACTGAAGAGATGGATGAGTGGCCAGTCCCGTGCCAGATCCCAGCTCCCAGAGGGGAGCAGTCAGAGCTGCTGCGAACTGCAATGAATGAGCCGGGCAAACCGAGAAACACACCAACTCAGTGATTGTGGGGAGGTATTTATAGCCACAGACACAAAGCAAAGGGATGGAGATGATGTGATAAGGGAATGTGACAAAGTGCCCTTTGACAGATGGTGTTAGGCTGAAACTCAGCCCTGGGAAACAGAGATTCAGGCAAACAAACAGATGCAGGAAAACACTGTCAGTGACTGCAGCCTTCCAGGACAACCACAGTTAAGCTATTGTGATTTGTACGGTTTGTATAAAACCCCTGAGATTATTTGCAGCTGAGTGCTAATGAGGCACTGGGGTTGCAGGAGACTGCATGGTGCCCCTGTGGCTTTGAGCTTTCAGGTTGTCTAAATTTTAAGGTTAAAGACAGAAACTGACCTGTTCAGATCCCGATGTATGATGGGCTGTGTGAGATTGTGCAGGTACTCCATGCCTTTGGCCACATCTACTGCAATGATTAATTTAGACTGCAGATCGAGAATTCTGTATTTTGTAAAAAATAAAGATTACTTGATGTTAATAGACAGTTGAAAAGTATTCTGATCTGTAAATCATGCAACATTTAAAATTGTTTTACATACAAAATAATGTTACATAATCTATGTAAATCTATATACTGTAAAATAATGACAATAACAAATTTGTGAAGACTTATCAGTTTACCTTGTACACCCAATAAATTGAACCAAATCTCAACATTTTCTAGAGTGTTCCTTTCTCTGTTGTCCTATGCTGAAATGAATATTTGCATCAGCTTAGATTCCCTGCTCTTCTAAATTCTGTAAGCAGGCCCACAGGTGGATGAGGGCAATACCTCTTCTGCTCGTGGAGCAGGGAGAAGAGTGATCCCCCAGAGATGTACTGGGTGACAATGGCAAACTGGCTGGGGTCATCCAGGCAGGCTCCCACGAACTGGATGACGCAGGGATGGTTCAGTCGGCAGAGAATGGAAACCTCCCGGCAGAACATGTCCACGTCAGACTTGGAGCAGTAGGTGTTGGCTCGGTAACTTACAATTGACAGGAGAGGAAGCAGAAGGCAAAGGTATCATAAAATATGGGCTTTTGAAACACTTCAAACCAGGTGATTGACCAAGCAGGATGGAAAAGCCTGACAAACTTACCGTTTAATTGCAACAATTTTATTTCTACATCGTCCCTTATAGACTTTTCCAAAAGACCCTAAAATAGTTTAAAATAAATAAGCTCAAATATGTTTGTTACGAACATCAAACATTTAAAGTGAATGCACATTCACTTCTGGTACCTGAGCCGATAATCTCATGGAACTCTATCTCAGAGAGCTGCAGGTGGAAGTGTGATGGCAAGCCAGCACGGAGGAGGAGGACATCGGCCTTTTCTGCAAGAGAAACACCCATCCTGTTTGTAAAACACGGCCTGGGGGAGGATCAGGCATAAGAGCACTGGACTTCAGAACCCTTGCACTGGGAGAGCTGATTTTTCCCTGTAAACTGACTGCTAATCCTGCTCCCTGCTTCAGCAAAGCCCAGTGACAGACACATCCTTGCAATGCCCCAGGTTGCCCTGGGCACTCCTGGTTTGGCACCTGCCAGCCACGAGCACTGTCCCAAACCCTGCCTGTCCCATGGGATGGTAGCACAGAATTCCTTACATGGAAAACTCATTCCTTCTCTTTGTGCAGCCAGTGCTCATTGCTGCTGCTGGGGATGCTATTCCAGAGCCGACTGGCTCCTGGTGACAACTTTGCAGCTGAATTTAGTTGTCAAATGTCTCTGTCTTGTTGATCTTTTCAGTTTATTATTACAAAGTTTATCAGAATATTTCTAAACAGAGCATTTTGATGCTGCTATGTAAAGGATGTAAGGGTTTGATTATATTCAGAGTGAATATTTAAAGTGGAAAAATTGAAAGTACCACAAAAAAAAAAAAAAAAAAAAAAAAAAAGGAGGAAGTATCCTAAAATACTTTAAAATATTTATCTGAATGTTTCAGCTATATTTGTTTCAGAGCAACACAAATTATTTTTTGACAGAATTTTTCTAATTCGGGCATTTTATGGTGTGATTTAAATGATACTTATTTGCATTCATGGAGAAATGGTTATTTCATTAGTGCTATTTCACATCACAGCCTTTCCTCAAAGAAATAGGAAAAAAAAAAATTTTAAAGTGAATGAAAGCAAGGTAAATACTGGAATTGTCATTATACTGAGTAACAAAGCCAAGTATATTGTTTCCTAAAATTATCCTAGGGAAATGTAACAGTGTACCATAAAAAGTCCAGGAATAATGAAACCTGTGTAGGACGTTCAGGCTGACAAACACATTGGCTCAAAGGACCACAGAAGTTCACATTTTCCCTTGCCATTGCAAATACCTTTTGTCATGCTTTTAATCTTCCCTAGGGGGGATGGCACTGACACATAGGAACCGTCTGAAATAAAGAACAGAGTGAAATTATGGAGTTCAACGACAACGTAAGTGATGGTGCTGATAAATTAATGAGCCAAGGATGCCAGAAAAAATTAATAATAAAGGGTGAGAATTCGGATAAACACACCAACATGTCTGATGGGAGCTGGTTTGGGCTGGGATAGAGTTCATTTTCCTCACTGTACCAGGCCCTGGGTGCTGTATGGCTGCAACCTTGAAAGCATCTGTGTGTGGCCAGAAAATGGTGAGTCCCATGACAATGATTTTATTTGTGCTGCACAGGACTGACCCAAAGCTCTCTGACATGGGTGGAGCACTTCCAGAGATTTCAGCAGCCTTTGGATCAGGCCTTTTGAATAAAATGATTGCTCAGCCCATACCTCCTCCAGGCTGGGAATATTCGTTGCAGGGGGACTCATCCTGAGGTCTCTTGTAATGCTTCAGGAGGGTCACAATTGCATCATGACCTCGGGAAGAAAGAGAAATACAAGGATTTGCAAGTAACCCAAAAGACTTTAAGAAAAATACTAATTTATACAAAATCAGAAGATTAAAAAAAATTGTAAAACATGCCTATAAAATATGCAAAGACATGGTGGTGCTAATCTAAACCTACTGCGATTCTTAATTGTAGAAATATGGGAAATTTCTGCCAGTAAAAATAAGGATGTTATTTTCTCAAGTCCACCTATTCCTGAAATGCAAGATATAGCAAAGGAAAACCCTGCTGCAGAAATCCTGCAATGAAAGTTGGCAATAGCCTTCAGTGAACTCTTTTTGAGCTTGTGCTGGATTAAACTAATGTTTAACAGAGATTTGAGATGACAAATTGAAGGGCTGGTGTTTATAACCCTTTGTGCCACTGCTTGGGGAGCAGGTGGTGGGAGCTCAGTCTGCAGGCATCGGCAGGTTATTTTGCAGCATTATCTCCTTCCCAAGCTGCCCTCTCCTTCCTGTACAGCTTCTGTGGGTTTTGTAGCAGAAACTGGAAAATTAAAATACCTTTCTCATAAGCCCACATCAAACAGGTCTGCTCATCCTTTTCTCCACTGGACCTGCTGGGATCACAAGCTACAAGATTCATGTCAGCTCCATTATCCAGCAAGAACTGCACAAGGCGAATGTGGCCGTGGTAGCAAGCACAGTGCAGCCCTGGAACATCAGAGAAGTGTGGGGAGCACAGCCGTCAGAACAGGGCAATGGGGCTGCAGCAACAACTGCAAAGTGCAAATTGATCTCCTCGATAAATAAATATGTTGCCCAAAAAATACCTGAGGCAAGAGGTGAAAATTAAACATTAAGGCTGCAAGAACCAATCTACTGCCTCTGCACAATGTGCCACCACTTACTTTGCCAGCTGCAAAACACATTTAACGATTCTGTATGTGAGAAGGAAGTGGAAACAAAGGCAGCTCTGTGTAGTGGGGATAGGAATGTGTGCAGCCCTTCAGACACTACATTCCAGAAGCCCATCTCTTTGCAGAATAATTTCTAACACTACTTAGAAGCCTTAATATGGGAAGAACAGTTTACAGCAGGTTTTGTTACTCATATACATCCTAACGGGCCTGATACATCCTCACTGAAGTCTTATCACTTCTATGCCTCCAGTAAAAATATTTCAGGAAAGCTGTGCTCTGTCTGAAAGGCACTCGGGTGCTGGAAATCCTGATGTGTGGCTTCCCAGTATTTTGGTGCTGGTGTCTACCCTCATACACAGTAAGTGTGGTGGTGTTACCTGTGTGCCCATCTCTCCCCTGATGATTGATGCTTACAACATTCTGGTCAAGGAGAAACTTGACAAGTTCTATGTTCTTTCCATAGGTGCAAGCGCTGCAGAAGTAAAGGGAGTGGTGAGTGGTGTAGTCCATAAAAGAAGTACTTCAGGTAGCCAAAAAGGAATTACAAATAGATAAAAATGCAGTAATAAAGGATCATTAGATATATGCAAATGCATGATTAATCCACCAGAGCATATTCATTTTTATTGTTTCCGAAACATTCTAATTATTGCTGAATTACCTAATTTCACACAGTTGTGCAAACAGCCTGAGTTGCAAAGTGCCTCTTTAATAGCCCTTTACAAATTTCCACTATGCCAACCAAACTGTGTTCTGCCACCTGGCTTCTCGTTCAGAGTACCTAGCCCCAGCAGACATCCAGGTCTGATCCCAGCTCCCAAACTGGACAAGGAGAGGAACCACTTTCCAACCAGGTGTTGGTGAACCTGATTTTCACTGCCTGGTTCTGCCTCTTTCTTTATGCCCTGTCATATATCTCAGGACACAAACTCACCCTCCCTGTGTAGCTCTCTGCTCGCTCTGTTCCTCACCTGGCTGCTGGGGAGACATTTGTAATTTTGGGTGTTGTGAGACATTTGTAGTTTTGGGTGTTGTGAGACATTTTGGGTGTGGCAAGACATTTGTAATTCTGGGTGTGGTGAGACATTTGTAATTCTGGGTGTGGTGAGACATTTGTAATTCTGGGTGTTGTGCTGCAAGCATGTGTAAGTGGAGCTCTACTGACAATGGCATTTGAACACCTCACCTGTGGAAAGCAGTTTCACTGAATATATTTTCTTTAGTGAGACTTTCTGTTCCTGAGAGTTGAATTATTTCCTTGACAACTTCAAACTTCCCATTGTAACAGGCACTGAAGAGGAAGCCAGTGGAGAGGTGTTAGCAAAACCAGCCTTCCCAAGAGCCCCAAACCTGTCCAGAAGCTCCTCCAGGGCACTCACAGGTGTAGAGGTGTGTCTCCATAGATATTCACCACGTGGGGCTGCACTTCGAAGCTGCTCTGCAGTAAGAACTTCACAATATCATGGTGCCCAAATCGAGAGCAAAAGTGCAGAGGCACATGATCTTCGTTGTCCTGAGCATTCACTGCCAGTCAACCCAGAAAAAGACCACAGAAAGGATTTTATCCTTAACACAGTGTGTCTGGGATACTTTCAGATATTTAGTAGAATTTTATGTGTTGTATCTATGCATTTTGAAGCCTCCTGGAAAAATATTTGCAGACGTATTTGTTGAAAATTGAAATTTCTGTGATCTTTTGGATATCAAATCCACATTGCTCTGTGCCACCCGCAGTGCACTGTCAAGGTGATTTTCTGACCTTGGGGCATGACTTCTTTCTTCCAGCTGCAAATTTATCGAGTCTTTTGACAAAGCTTTCCATGAAGGAATCATGAGTTATAAATGACCCTTCGAAAGAGCAATTTTGAAACAAAAGTAAGATAATAACAACACCAACAGAACTGGGAACATCCAGGCAGCACAGAACTGCTGGCATCTACCAGTAGCAGCAAAACATTCCAAGGGCAGTTGCACAGAGTGACCCTGGGGGATCCTTGATCTGCAGATGGGAATGTTGGAGACTGTCAGCTGTCATGGAGCACATCCATGCCAGGGAGCCTTCTGCCTGCTTATGGGATGGGCAATATCTGTGGTTTTGGGCTGACTAGCAAGTCACATTTTGTTAAAAGAAATAGCTCAGGTTTGCGACCCCAATTACTGGTCTGTACTGAACAGTGCCAAATTTATTCAGGTTCTTTCCCCAGTTCCTTTCATTCCTGGGCACTAAAGACTTTTCCTCTGCTGCAGCATTTACAGCAAGTTTCAAAGTGTGCTACTTTAAGAGCAAAAGGCTTCCCGCTTCCAGTCTCCCTTTTCTTTTTTTCTGTGCTGAAGATTTTGAGTTTAAAGAGAAGGACCTGAAATGGTGCCCCAGATTCTTTCCTTTTGGAATAAACTCTCTAACAGAGGGCAAACCTCCCACTGCCTTGTCATGATGAGAGAACGTCTCTTTTTTCCCCCCTTTATTATAATTATATCAGCCCAGTGCACACACATTGAGGCTGAAACACCCTGAGCTCACTACTGAGAACAGCACACACAGACCTGACTGCTGCTTCCCTACATGCTTTTCTGCTGCAGGAGGAGGATGTGTGATTGCAGGCAGGACTCATAGGGAACATGGTAAATTGTTCTCTTACTCTGAGGATAAGAAATTAATTTTTAAATAGTTTGGAATTTGCTCAGTATTTTGCAGAATCATAGAATAGCCTGGGTTAGAAGGGACCCTGATCTTTAAGGTCCCTCCCTGTGGGCAGGGACACCTCCCACTGTCCCAGGCTGTGTCCAGCCCCAGTGCCCAGCCTGGCCTTGGGCAGTGCCAGGGAGGCTGCCCACCCCCCCAGGGAAGGATTTTTTCCTGGTGTTTAATCTAACCCTGCCCTCTGTCAGTATGAAAGCATTCCCCTCATCCTGGCACTCCAGGCCCTTGTAAATAGTCTCTCTCCCTCTTTCTTTAAGGCTCCCCTCAGGTACAGGTAAGAATCTCTGCACTGATAATCACAACACGCCTAAAATGTGACCTGTAAGTTACAGCAATCACTGTGAGGCCACCTGGATAAAGAACTCCCCCAAGGCCCAAAGTGTGCTGAGAGACTTTTGTCCAGCCCACCAGGTCTTCACACAGGCACTTCCTCAGACAGAAAATGGCCCACAGCTGACATTCCCAGTGACGAGTGGAAAGCTTGTGGAGCATAATAAATCATGTGCTAAAAAAAAATCCTCTTTTCTGTGGAATTTTGACATTCATATTAATTATTTTAAATTTCTCGCTGCATAATTTTGGCTTAAAATCCTCCTCCTGTACCTCATTCAGTAGTTCTCTGTGCATTTGAGTCACTTTGACTACAGACCCCTACCACATAGCCACATGTTACCTGCCTGGATCAATGTCTAAATAATGAGCCACCTGTATATTAATCTTAATTTTGTTTTCTGCCTCTGTTTTTCACCTCTAACTTACTACTGAAAATAGAGTAAATGTGAGATGACAAACCAGCATACTTGGCCAAGGGAAGCTTTCCAACTGCTGTTTTCTTGTTTTGGCTGTCCAAAGATGATACAGAGACACACAGTACAAAGAGTATGTGTTAGGAAGCTAAGACTCTGTTCAGAAGACACAGTGTTAAAGATGATTTTAAAATATCTTACCATCAGCTTTGCTTCCCTCTTCCATCAAAAGCTTTGTGATGTTGAGAAAGCCTTTGGCAGCAGCCAGGTGGAGAGGTCTGTCCCCAACTTCACCACTCGCATTCACATCGGCTCCAAACTTCAGTAGCAGGTGGGTTACCTAAATATTTAATTAAGTTTAATTAAAATATCGCATGAAAATAAAACTTTGAGAAAACCAGATACAATAGTGCATGGGGTAATACTGTATGTGAGCATCTCTGTAAAGTTAAAACAGGGAGAAGGGATTCAATAGAAAATTCATTTTTAAGTTCCATGTCTATAAAGAGGTTAAAATTCTCACAAGCGAGCAGACGTTCATTCTGAAAAACATCCTCTGCGGTGAATGGACAGCAGAGGCATCAGTGTAAGAAAGGAGCACCCTCGGATCCCCCCAGGCAGGCCGTGCCCGCCCCGGTACCTGCTGGTGGCCGCAGTAGGCAGCGATGTGCAGCGGGGTGAAGAACACGGCGTCCTGCACGTTCACGTAGGCCCCGTGCTGCAGCAGGATGTCCACAGCCTGCAGGGAAACCAGCAGCAATGCCCACCACGAGCGCTGTGCATGTCCTACATGTGCTCAGCTGGTAAAACTGGACTTTGAAACCTCACACCTCCAGGTTAAAAAATGCCAAACAGCCCCCAACAAACGAGTTCTAAAGGTGCAGAGCATGTAAAAGTGATTAACTTACAGTACTTGAACTGAGCACTGAATGCCACTGATGCTTTATAAATGCGCCTGAAGATCAGTGTGCCACTAAAAAAACTGATTCATGAAGTAAGAGGCACAGAAATGGCTGTCTGGATATTCTCAGAACAACCTTTAATTTTCTTCTAGCCAATATGAACAAAGAGCTGTAAACATATCAGAGATTTTAGAAGTTAAAAAGTCACACAAAATGAAAGATCCTTCACTCTCGTTGTGATCCCCTCACCCCCTCCACATACAGTCAGAATTTCCCTTGCTAAATGCCATGTGTGTTGACATCCTTTTGCAGTGGATCCTTCTGCTGCCAATCCCAAAAAAGCATTTGACTACACAGCAAAAATCTGAAGAAAGACCCCCTGAGATCTTTCTGCTGGCTGTTCTATCCGCTCAGCAACAGGCACTCAGGGGATGGGTGGGAATATGCTCAGGTGCTAAATAAAGAACACACTCCATTATTTAGTTAACACAGCTGATTCCCTCCACTGTGTTTGCCATGTCTGGCCAATTTTCAATATCTTGGTGGGCCAGAGGTGGGAACATAGAGCCAGCCACCCAGGGATTTAGTGGTTTGGTGGCTTTCAAATTATTAGTCTAAGACATTTTCCAGCAAACTAGCATGATAAAACTGAAGTTGTAGCTGTTGTCTCTGAAAAGAGATGTTTAGGCTTGTAGCTTTTACACTAATATGACTGAAACATCTTTGGATCAGCCTGATTTTAATTTAGCCATGAACTGTGAGGCTGTAACAAATTCAGGGATGCAACCATAACTCCAATTCTCCTCAAACCCTTTGGGAGCTGGAATTCAAAATTTAGATTCATCTATGAGCTTTCAAGGTGGATCTCCAAGGTGAAAAAAACTCTGTTGAGTGACGTGGATTCATCCCTGATGATGAACATAAAACTAGATGGGTTTTGACACATTTTCCAGGCTGTAGCAATGGCAGCCGTGCTTTGTGATCCCCTGATAAGTAGAATTTTGTGTGCTGTACTAAGCAAACTCCACTCAAGTGTAAATGATGAGAGGGGTATAGAGACAGGCTTGATAGTTTGTCAGACAAGATATCTTTCCAGGAAAGAAAAAAGAAGCCTTAGAAAGCACTGAAAGCTGTCATAGGCATCACAAGTAGGAGGCTATGCTGGAGGGATGTGCAAGGATAGAAATACTTCAGAAACTAAGGAGGAAAAATAAAAACCAAAACTTTTATCCTCAGGAGACAGATGGCGAGTGAAGGTGAAGCTTGTAACCCAGGGGATGTTCCCAAGCTGCAGAGAAAGCAGCTGGGTGGGCTGGTCTAAGGCAGCCAGCAGCATCCCAGTGGGGCTCACACCAGCACAGCCTGGAGAACAAGGGGAACTAATGCTTCCCTTCTCCTTGTACAACCAAATGTTCTTTCAAAACAATGCTTTAAACAACTTGCACTATAGTTTTTGCAATTTTTCTTAAAATTCTCTTACAAACGGTTTATTCAGAAGTTTTTTGAATACTCAAGTTAACGATCTTCACTTCACTGAAGCCACTCTGAAGGCTAGAAGGAGCCAACAAAAACCCCATGAGACAGACATAAAGACTTTGTCTTTTGGAAAAGGGCAAGGGATAAAAACTCATCCTTATAAGGAGACTTGAAAAAATTATTTCATGTTTCCATGAATATTAATGAAATTGTGGACAAAACAAGCTACTTTATCTGGAAGAGAAACTTCTAAGCTGACTGAAAATTCCACAGCTAAGTAAAGAAGGAAAGCAAGAACTTTGACTACAAATAATTGGTTCCCAGAGCAGCAAATGAATCAAACAAGTCCCACTCCATTTATGGAGATGCTTCTGATACACAGCTGATCATTCCCAAGGAAGAAATAAGAAACTTTTCAATACTACTAACAGTTTATTTCTTATTGAGTTAATATTGTTGGTTTGTGAGCCCCCTAAACTTGCCCATAACCTCAGCAGGAGCTCAGGACATGGGAGCAACAGCAGGTCTGCCTTTGGCATTTACAGCAAAAGGCCCAGACATTTTAGAAATTACTTGAAACCCCAGAGTGCTCAGAGAAGACTTTGTATTGTCCACAGATGAGACATTAAATACCTGTGAATGAAAGCATCCCAGAGTCAGGGCTCAGGTTAACAGCTCCACCATCATTCTGCACAGAACTATTAGAGTCAAATCATCAAGGTTGGAAAAGGCCTCCAAGACCTATCAAGTCCAACCTGAGTTCTTTTGTGCATGTTTGTTCAGTGTAAAAATATATGCACAGATAGGATTTTCCCAAAATGCAGAAAAAAATTAAACAAAATGCAGCTGTACTTTACCAGTTCTGAATTTTGTTTTGAAAGATAACAGAGTAAGTCAGAATGACCTGCCCATACAGCACCCACCTGTTCCAGCCCTGCACAGCTCAGAGTGCCATACCTTGTGGTGGCCGGCCATGGTGGCGACGTGCAGGGCCGTCAGCGCCCCGTAGCCGACCTGCTGGATGTCAGCCCCGCCGTGCAGCAGCGCCGTCAGCAGCTCCGCGTCGTCCTGGAAGTGGGGATGGCACCCACATCACTCCTGGGACAGGCTGGGGGAGCAGCACCAGCCCTGGGCTCCCCGGCCGGCCGGGATGGAGCGGGACCAGCACGGCCCAGGGGCTCAGGGTGCCTGGAGAGGCTCTGCCCCGGGCACCAGCCCTCTCTCTTTTGCTATACTGAAGCCTGGGTGTTAAAAATCTCTATCCTGATTTTATGATGGCACTGGACAACTCCTCTGTCTTGAGTTGCAGCGGATGTCTCCACCAGCAATTCCAAGGCAATATCCTACCCCATGGATAACACTGCAAAAGTGCATGCTGATTCCTGTGCATGGGCTCCTTATGGGGCGCTTTCCTGTGCACCACAGATGTAAAACTTGTATTTTCACCAGAAATAATGACTAGAGAGCTCATCTAGACAGCACAGACAAATCAGTTGCTCAGCTATGATTTCCTGACATCAATTCTATTGAAAATAACTTACCTTATAAGCTGCCAAGTGCAGAGCTGTAAATCCATTTCTGGTTAGTCTGGATGGGCGCAGCCCTTTCAGCATGAGAGTTCTGATGTGGGATTTGTTGCCTTTAGAGAGAAAAGCAGAAAAAAAGACAGTTACAGGAAAGAACATGCAGATGAGGTAAGAAGCTCCTGCGTGAGTTTAAAAGCAGAGAAATAGATATCTCGACTGCTGACCTGAGGCAAGTAATAAAATGTACCTTTTGATACTTCAAAACAATGAGGTTGATGGAAATATCTCATTGGCTGGGACAGTTGTGGGTCTGGACACATACTGGCTTACTGTTCACACTTTAATGAGGATTTGGTAAGGGTAACTGAGCTTCTGGAGAAGCAAACCACTCCTTTAGCATCCAGAGCATGCTGCAGAGAGCTCCATGAACCAGAAGGTGCTTCTGGAACCTCTGGTTTCTCAGTCACTGAGCTCCTTTTCCATCTCAGAACTGGAGCACTGCTCTCCCTACACAGGACATCCTTACAAGGACAGTCATTTTGGGGAGTGCTAATGTGGGTCCATTAATGTGGTCCAGGCCAGTAGCTTTGCTCTGACCTTTTTTGATGCACAGTGAATAAATGCATAAATTCAATAAATTCATCTGCCTTCTGAGTACTTGTGACAGTAACCAAGGACAATGTCATATCTAGCAGCTCTTTGCCCTTCTCTGAGTGTTCAAAGAACTGATGATTAGTGTGTGTTTTCCTAAACTTCCTCTCAGCTACTCCAACTGCTCTGATGTTCCCATGTATTGATACCATCTTTGGATAGGATCTTGCACTCAAAAAATGACAAGTGAAGATCCACTCATTTTTCAGTAGTGCAGGATCAGGTTGTTCCTCGTGGAGAGCATCTAACCAAGATTGATAAAATCATTTATGCATGTCATTAGTCAGTACTTTGCAGAGCTGAAACCTCAGGGTAAAAGTCTCTGCCTCTCAGCCAATTTCTGCTGAAAATTGTATAACAAGAGTGAAACAAGTGCATGAACTAATGACTTTTTTGTGGATAACAGAGCAGCTGTGTGGATCCAAGTGGAAAACCCCACCATCAGGATGTTTGTATGAGCATCCCAGAACACATCTTGCCCTCTTCCCTTGTGTGTTCTGATGTGCTATCTGGAAAAGCCCTATCAGTTGATGTTTGTCACTAGAGCATTTCAGCTATTCTTGTTTTAATCAATGGGCAATAAAATACAGGTATTTTCATGACGGTAGAAAAGTTGGTGGTGTAAGTATGGCAAAGTACTGCTGCAACAAGGTCCCTGTCCTGGAGCCTGAGCCACGGACAGAATCCAGAAACGTGGAGCCAGAAATGCTGTGATGGGTTTGGTTTAACAAACGCACGTAGAGGCAGTTTAGGATGAGCTGAACACGTGCAGTAAATCCTGCTGCACCCCCAGCCAGGACCTCGGTCAGCTGAAGAATCAGCTCCCCTGGGGCTCTGTGAAACTCCCCTCGAGGCTCTGCGGGACGCTCCGAGCGGTGCTGAGCCGCTCCTCCAGCTGAGGAGACCCCGAGCGCTCAGCCCTGCTGCCAGGCAGAGCAGATCCGTGCTGGGGCCGGCGTGCCCGCTGCAGACCTACCCCCACACACGCAGCACAGGTGCAGCAGCGACAGCCCGTTCTCCGTGCGGTAATTCAGGTTGACTTTGCAGAAGGCTTCATCGGAGCTGAAAAAGGGATTTTACAGATGATTACTTCTTCCATCTTTCAGCACAGCTTCTTGCATGTGGGAAACATTTAAAAGAGAAATCACAATGTAATTTTTTTTGAGGCACAAGGCTGAATTTATACCCAGCTTACAGTCGGTAAATCTAGAAATACGTTACTACTATCAGGTTGAGTGGTCCAGATTTATTGTTTTCTGAGAAATCTGGCTATGCCATCACAATATATACATTGTAAATTTATCTAAATTAGGCAAAATAAGAGGAAAGACTCTTTAAAAACAGAAACAATCCATATAAATTCAGCATCTGTATTAATGCAATAATAACTACGATGTATTTTTAAAATATGTGTATTGATTTTTAAATGGTGAGTAGGACACGCATAGGGCAGGGGCCATCTTGCTAAATGAAAAGAATAACCAGGAAAAGCCTATTACAAAGTGAGTTTGTACCCCCCAGATGAAATCACAGGGACAGTGATCACTGTGTTTGCTTACAGGTTGTTAAATGAGACAGTACTTGGACATTTTAGCTTTTGTCATCGAGCCTTGTGGGTTTCCTTCAGCACAGACTGATTTGTTAGTGATCCATCAAACACTGTAAATAATTACATTTGTTAAAAACTAAATACACCTACAGCTCATATTGCTTTGGAGAATCTCAATTTCAGCCTGCCCATAGAAGCTTCCATTCAGTATCAGCCCACCCATGACCCTGAGTGTGCAGAACACTTGGATTTGTGTAACTATAAACCCACCCTGAGGAAGGAGCAACCATTACACATATTTAACAAGGTTTCTGTAAAAAAAAAAGTTTCAATATTTTTCTCAACTCATTTCCAGTCTGTGAGCCGGGAGTTTGCTGCACTGGAGCTTTGCAGGTAATGAACACGTCTGCATTACTCAGCTGGGTGAGCCTGTGTGTGAGCATCTGTTATCCTAAGAAAACCAATTCCTAACTTTGAATCCATTACTTTTGTGTTTGTTTACAGTGGTACACTTCAGCAATATTCCTGGCTGCAGAAACACATCAGCAAAGCTGAAAAGCGTACAGAAAAATCAGACATTGTACTAGAGCTAATTATTTTACAAAAGTATAGAGGTGTTTATTGTAAAATACTGGCATTAATAATCAGCAGCCACTAATTTTGGTACTCTGCTGTGGGGATCTGCCTAGCACTGTGATGACATATTCCCAAAAATAGACATAAGGAATATGCATTCCATACAGGAGAAACTCTGTCCATATAAAACACCTGAAACTGAAAATACTGTTTGATAACAGATAGTCATTTGAAAGAAATCAAATTCACTGAACATTTTACCTGAAAACATGCTTTAACTCTGCCAGCTCCTTTTCCTTGATTTGCAGGTCGTCCTCCAACCGCTCCGTGACAGTGGCATAGGATTCACTGACTTTCTTCTTCCATTCATCTACAACAAAAATTCCAAGTTGCTAAAACTCTTCAAAGCACAAAAATAGTAATGTCCCAGTAACCAGAACACTTGATTTTTAAACATCCAATTGTACAATTTCATATATATTTCTATTAAAGTATAAAATATTATAGCTATTAAACTGTTCCTGCTGCAGCCAATACAGAAACATATACAAGGATTTCAGAGACAGTGCACATGTATGAATCCTTACCAAGAAATATTTTAATATTAAATAATATTCAAGAGAAAACTGAAACGTTCAGGTTACATTTGTTAGCTCTTTTTTTCCTCAACAGACACACAGCAGAAACAGGTTAGAGATTTAAAGGTTTTCTCATGAAATACGAGTCAAATCAACATAGTATACAAGTTATTATGATTTTATATAATTGCCCAAATAAATGTTGGCTTGTCTTTCACAGCCTGTATCTGGGTTAAGTCAAGAACAATACCTGAGCCTTGAACTCAAGAGTAAACCAGGAATGAGTTATCTCCTGAAATACCATTTGCTCCTTGCTGATGGATGGATGGCACATTGCCTGTAAAAAAGTGACATTAGTTACCCGTGCAAGTCTGGGTTGGTCTAGATTTATAATTTCCCATTTGTCCAATTTATCTTCTTTGTTTCAGCAAAGTTCTTGCAGTAATATGATTCCCTGTTCAGGAGCAGTGACAGTCCTGCTGAAAAATACTTGTGATAGTCTCTGGCTAAAAATAAACATTGTGCCAAGAGGAATGTCATGCAACAATAGCACGGAGCGAAACAGCCTGTGCTGTTCACTGGGCTAAAGTCATAGAAACACCCACTCAGCTTGCTTAAAAATCTCCAGTTCTTCCCACAAAATACTTGCCTTCATTTGTTGAACACCTACAACTAGTGGGAAGTGGCAATTTGGCAGCTTGCTAATGATTTTGTAAAGAAAAGGGAATTTAAGCACCTGAATCCCAGGTGTTCTGTGAGAATCCCCAGGGAGTGCAGGGGGTCCCCAGCTCAGAGAGGCCAGGGACGATTGCAACTCACAACCCCCTGGCACAGGGGTGGCATTGGGAGCATTTGGGTATGGCACTTAGGAAGGGCAAAATATAATTCATAGTGAAATGCAAAGATACACACCTAAACATTTATGTTTATATATTTATATATTAATATCTTTAAAGTGTGGTGATTGACCTTGGCAGCTGTTCTGTGTGTGAGTTCTCATCTCACTGAAGGATTTCAGGCAAGCAGACATGTTAGTAGAACACACATCTCCAAAACCTCCCACACGCTGCAGCCCACTGTAAGAACCTTGCTGCCTCGACAGCTCCTGGCACTACCAGCCTGTCCCTTTACTTGCACAAACTTGTATATGAATCACAGGATCCACTTCAGAAGAGAATGAACTGCTGTCTCAATGTATCCTGTGATATTTGACCAGTGATTTGCAGAAAGGCACCAGCCTGGCAGCTGATTCCCACATCCAGTTGCCAAACAACTGGGAGAGCTGAGGTTTTAAATGTTCTTCACAGGGAGGGTTTACAGCAGTAAGTCTCTTGAAATTATCTTTATTTCAAATTAATCAGAACATATCCACAATTAACATATGTCCACATCTATCATTTACTTGAAGAAGCTCTAAGTTGCACCCATAAACTTCATTGCCATTCTGGTGACATTCAGATCTGTCCCAGGAAATGAAAAGGGCGCTGAAAGAAAATACACGTTGTCAAAAAGAAAGTAGAGGAACTCTGGCCCTTGAAAGGGAGAAGGTGTTTGCAGTGGCTCCCCCATGCCAGCAGATGAACAGAACACAGCAGCACTGCACTGTTTGTTTTGCTCTCACAACATTAGAGAGGCCTTTCCATGGGGGCTCAAGTGCAGAGAGCAAAAAACAAAGCTCTTACATCAGAGGTTTGGGAATGAGAAGAGGCTGGAACTTCTGAGCTCGAGCAAAAACACCCTGACAAGGCACAAACATTGCTCTACAGATCCAACTGATCCTTGGAGCTTACTTCCTCTCATCAGCTCCCCAAATCCTCCTGGCACAGATTCCTCTCAGCTGCTCATTTTTATTTCAGCTGCCTCCCCTTGTGCTCTTTGTTAAGTGCCCAGTTTCTCAGATTTCAGTTTCCTGCACCAAAGGTCACTGAAATATCCCCTCTCAGGTTTCAGTATAGCACAGACAGCAGGGCTGAACTCTGCTGATCACGGCGCGTGCTCAAGGTATTCAGGGAAATCATTGCAATCATGTTCATTATGAGCCCTATTATTGCACTACACAGCAAAACTAATTCAATAAAGAAAGCTGACATGAAAAAAAAATCATTAAAAGCTCATCTTGAGTTTGTTTGAGATTGTACCAGCCTGAATTGCATTTCAGGATAGATGGAGCCAGGCAATGATCCAGAGGATATATGAACATTGCACCCATCTGGGAAACTCTGTGAGGATCAGACAAAATCAAACTCTAGGTTTCAGCAGATGACTCCCATCCACGGAGTCCTGCGTTCCTGGCACTCTCATGACTGCATCCTTCATCACACACTGCAGGAAAATCATGGGCCAGGATGCTGTGATGGTCTTGTTTTAAGAGCCTGGTACTGGAAACCAGAAACCCCCAAATTACTGACCTTGCTGTGAAGTTTTACTAAGCGGCCTTGCACAAGTTTCTCAGCTTCCTTGGGACACACTTATCCCAGCTGGCTGCATGAGAAAATTGTTGTCATCTACGTTAACAGCAGACTGTGGAATACAAAGATTACCTGGAGCTGTAAATGCAATACAGACAAAATACATACACGGATTGAATACCTCAACCTTGGATTATTGTTGTGAGGAAGGGTCCGGTCTGCAGGCTTTTTGATTTTAAAAAGATGTACTCACACTGTAGCATGACTCTTGCTGTAAAAACTGCAATTTATCGCTAAAAATGTACACACTTCATAAATAGCTGCAATACAGAGAATTGTAGGAGCAAAGAAGCATTTGGAATGAAAAAGTCCAAAGCCCTCCCAGAACATCAAGTCCAACCATTCCTCCGGCACTGCCAAGGCCACCACTAACCTCTGTCTCCAAGTGTCACATCCACGTGGCTTTTAAATACCTGCATATGGGAAAATAATTAATATAACTCTCTATAAATAAAATATATATTGTAATGTTCTTCATAACATTTTACATTAAACATGATTGCAGTGTAAAAATGAAGAATGGTACACCACCAGATATTCCCATACCTGTAGAGTAAATCCATTAAACTTGCTGATGTTATCTGGGGCTAATACTGACTGAAATCTGCCTTCTCAATTAGAAACAAAAATGCTCACAGTAAGAGGAAAGCAGTGTGTGACACATAGGATTAAAGCAGTACAATGTTTCTTACCTGGTAAATCCATGCTTATTCCATTACAACCGATTTTTTTTATTCATTAAAACCTTTGCCTCAAGATCCCACCTGGGGGCTAGCTGTGCTAGTCTGTTGCTACCACCGGGATGACACTCCTTTTTTTTTTTGTCTTGGAATTCACACTGCTCCCTAAAACACAGCAGCTGCTGCTGGCCCGACCTACCCCAATTTTTTCCACAAGCTATTCCCTCACCGTTTTTCCTCACTCTCCCAATACTTATGTGCCAGAAACAAATCCACTTCCTATTTTTATCCAGTTTACTTTCAGTAATGAAATCAGTACCTGGTACTCAGGGAATTCAGAACAAATACAATTGTAACAGTTAAAGTGGATAACCATGTTAAAAGGATGCATTTCACTGTTACCAAACACTCAGAGAACTCACCTGGCAGTGTGGCAACCCTCAGGGAAGTCTGTACCAAACAAAGTTTGGCCGCCAGCTCAAGAGGCAAGGTCTGTGTCAAACATGTTTCTCCTAAAATCTTTTGTGTAACAACAGATGAATAAATCATGCAAATAGGATGATATACAAATGACAGCTCTGTGCTCTATGACTACTTTCACTTTGTGACTTAAAGCGTTTACCTTGGATTTGAGTGTTCCCAAACCTACTGCTTCCATTGTTTAACTAATATTTCATACTAATTTATAGATCCTCTATTTGCTCAGAAATTCTTATTCCTTTGAAGTCAACTCCAGCAATTCCCACCCTCCACGTTTTAACTTATTTTTATTTCTTCTTGGAAGGTTTATTAACAAAGAAGAAACCTAGAGCAGGTTAAAGAAGGGTGGTAATGCTTAGGGGATGCTACTCTGCTGCCTCGTAGGTGGCATAAGAAAGGTGCCATTTGGGATTTCAGTCAGCAGGGAGATAAACACTGTCATCATGAGATATTTAATAAAACATGAAAACCCACAGAGACATTCAAGAGAAAAAGATTCATCACATTTACAGCCAAATCACGCTGATACACTGCACAGCATACTCCTAAAAATAGCAGATTTATCTGTTTGGAGCTGGATCTTGGGCATTTAAACTAGAAACAGGAGGACTTTGATGTTAACTTTATTTGCAGAAGGGGGTGAAGTGGAAGAGAGTTTCTCTGAAGATATGCACTGTGGTGCCACTCACAACAAACCTCCCTGGCTTTTGCTCCACTGCACCACGGACAGCCAAGACTGCAACAGTTCAGTTCAGACAAATACAAGGTGCTGCTTTTTGCATGGCACACATCAGTCAATCCCTGGGTAACAACGAGCTGGCAGCTTCTCCATCACACTGCCAGCTCCCAGCAGCTACTGGTAAAAAAAGTAAATCATTATGTCCTGATTAACTGGTGTTGACCCCAGTACTATGAGTCACAAGGGGAAGAATAATCACTCATGCCAATGGTTTTTCTCCTGACAAAAAACAGGAAAGGATAAAAAGTTACAAAACAAAAGAAGAAAATTTATTAATGCCCAAGATAAGATGTCTTGAATTAAAAGCACTTTTAATAATTTTGATCATTTTACCTCTACCTAACTACTGTTTGAAACTGTATTGCAAAATAGCAGCATAAAAAGAGAGAAACATAAGTTGTTATATTCTACATTGATGGAGCTAATATTCTACCCTTTAAAAGCTTTTAAAGCCATTTCAGCCAAACAGACAATTTTTCTGTGTCATATTCTGACAAAAACTACAAGACGTAACGTGCAACCCACAAAAAGTTGCCAAATAGTGTTTTTAGATCTGAAATATTTCCCTACTTTAATCAAAGGATCACTTTATCTGCATTTGCTGCTTTATTAATGTTATTCAATTTCTTCATTTCTACTTCAATAAGATCAGAGAAGAGATCTGTGTATTTTCCCCTTAGGATTCTTACGAGCTGGGAAGTAATTAATTGTCCACAAATGAAAACAGGTTTATTCAAGTACTGCTCATTCTATAATCAGACTTCTCTTTTTGTCTTTGTAGGCAGATTTCGTCATAAATTTGCTTCCTAAACTTCAGCATGTCTTCCACATCTTTGTAGGTGAGCATTTCTTCAACAGACAAGAGCTGAAAGCCACTCAGTTTGAAAGCTGACTTGTGCTGCACAGAATTCAGCATGTTCAGTGACATCCTAACTGATTCACTCAGAGTAGAACAAACAGGGAAAATCCTTGCAGTCCACAGCCCCAGACGTGTGTCCTCACTGGAGAAGAGCTGGTCTGAAGCCTCTAAGTTCCAGAGGTCAAGGCATTCTGGTAAGTTGGCTCCAAAAAACTGGAGGGAGTGTATATCTGACAGCAATTTCACGCTCTTTTTCAAGTCATCGCCTACCCCGAAAACCATGGTGACGTACTCCACTCGATCAGTAATTTTCACACTTACTGAACTCAGCAAGCAGTCTGAGGGTATGTCTGCAGTGAAATTTATGTAGGACCCACTGACAATGCTGCCTTTCCCTACCGAGACTTCAGGCCCAATTCTGGAGTACTCGATGACAGAGCCAGGCCCTACCACACACCCGGGCTCAAGGACGCTCTGGATGACACTCAAGTGATCCAAGGCCTTGGCTGTGTCAGGGAAGATGCTAAAAGCTACAGGCTGCAAGTCCAGCTCAAATCTCAGTTTGCTCTCAGCAGTAAAATGAAACAAATACTCCTGAGTGGTCCCGATGTGGTAGAACTGGGAGTTGTTGAGGACTATGACATTTAGGGCGGTGCCTTGCAGGAGGGAGTACAGCTGCTGCCGCACTGCCACCAACCCCGAGTCCTCCTTGGAGACATTGCTCGTGTTTTTGGTGTACTCTGGAGTGGCTCCAGGCCCCAGGGCCTGGAGAAAGTCACCGTATGCATCTATTTCACAGCAAAGAGTGCCCATCTGCTTGTAGAACTGCAGCAGCTGCTGGGCAGTGCTGTGGTCAATGTAGAATACGCTGTCCGTGTACACACACTCCGAGGCCACGGCTGAGTCCCCGCGGCTCCCCAGGGAGCTGAGCTGAGGGCGATCCCCCCTCACACACACTGCACCACTCTGCTGCATGGTCTCCAGGTCAGGCTTGTGCAGAAAACGATAGCATGATCCATATTCCAGTCCTCCCTTTCCCGAAAAACTGGACGGATCTAGCACAAATACGCCGTGCGTGGTCCCGACTGCCAAATCGGAGGGGTGAGCCAAGGCAGTAAATCCAGGTTTATCAAAGGTGATGGTTTCTGTGACCCCAGTGCTGTACAGCTCTATGTCATCCGAACACGTGATGAGGACTCCTGGCTTCATGTGACGGGGGAAGTCGATGTACATGGCCAGTTTCAGCTCCAGCATCTGGTACACGGGATCACCCAACGGCAGGGCTGTGAAGATCTTACCCAGGGCACTTGCATTTGGCAAACGCTGGCTGTAACCACCTGGAAAAAGACTTGTAGTTACACAGAGACACTGTACACAGGTGAGCAAAAAACTAAACCTAGGCAGCTATTTCACAGGTACACAAAAGCATTCAAAACCTCTCAGCTTGGTCGTACACCAAGTCTCAAAGCAGATCTGACCTTATATAAAACCCAGCCTGGCTTATATAGCTCATATTAAAACTGTGGTTGATTTTGTAACCTTTTTGTATCAGAGCTATCTGTCGCTGGAGTGACAAAAGCAAATGTTACCTGCTTTTTGCTTGGAGGAGAACTACCATATTCCTCAAGGGAATTTTGAGCCAGTGATGAGCCAAAAAGGCAGAGGTTTGGTCACACTTGTTATCACTTGGTTTCTTTCTCCTCTGCAGAACTGATGTTCTTCAATATCTGGAAGTGGCCTGACTCAGTAGATAAGAAGGCAAGTATTCATCCTGCCCAGAGGCATGAGGAGCCCAAGGTCCTCCGAGAGACGATTGTGTTCCTTAAATGGATGTTTCAAGGCAGAAACTTAAATCGCACCTCTGAATCACATCTTTCTCACTGACTGAGCAACGTTAGCGCTAAGAAGAAATGTTGAAGTGACAGTAACACCTTGCAAGCACCAACCTCATTTCAAATGATCAGACACATGGGTAGCTTTTCCCAGGGAACTGTATTTTGGAACTCCAGCTCCTCTGCCATTTTATTATTTTAAGGAAGAAAAAATAAAAGGTATTATTTTAGAGAAAAATATATAAAACTGAATTTACCAGAATGGATTAGCAGCACAGTGAAGGAAGTCCACTGATCACCATACTGCTCTTCCAAGCACTGAAGAGCATGAAGAGTTGATCCACCATTTCCTAAAGAAAAAGCATTTTAGTATCTGTGAGAAGAGCTCCAGTAGTTCCTGTTCTGACAGGTGAGGTGTACTGGGGCCCAGCCAGAGAGATGGGATAGTCTGTCTACCGTGTCATGGCATCCTGAGCAGACAGCTCCAGGGAAACCTCTGTGATTTCCCCTCCCAGTCACCTCCGCACAGCCCCACCATTTGGAGTATTTAATCAACTAAATAGGCCAAAACTCAGCTACAAACACCAGCTCCTGTAAGAAACAAGTCACATAAAAGCCTAGTAATGGATTCAAGCCAGTGTTCAGAAGTACTTTTGACATTTACAGTATGGAAACAAGGAAGATATGAGATCTGAGGAAATGGTTTGGGATATTTTATGTGCTCCTACAACTTAAAACTGCCAAATTCCTGAGAATTACCCTCTGCATATTACTCTACACTGCAGATAATACCGAGATTACTTAATTTGTACATCAAAGCGAACAGGAATTAAGAATTACAGAACGGTATTATGAGCAGTGAGACCAGTTTTACATCACCCCCGGGTAGTGCACTAAAACATACCCAGACTGTTTAAATAACCAGGTCAAGGTAAGTATGAACATGTGAGACAGGAGTTAGTGCTATCCCACAGCCACAGCATGCTCTGAGGAGTGGCACAGCTCGCTCACCAGCACCACTGCGGCTGCACGTGGGCTCCTGCCACCCTGATGCCCGCTGTGAAAAATGCATATTTTATGATTGGCTTTTTGCAAATGTTACAGTGAATACTATACATGTAATGTTAGAATGCTATGCTGTATTAATTCTTTTAAGTAGTGTGGTAAATGTAGTTTTAGGTTAAAACATAATATTAAAATAGAAACTCTGTGATATAGAATTTGTAACAAGCTCAAGCAGGAAGATGAGATAATCAAGAAACTCTTCACACAGAGATGTCAGCGAAGTGGCCCCATAAGAAGTTACTGCCTTCTTATCAGAAAAGACAAACATTCTTCCACCTTCTGTCTTTTTGGAACCACCAAGATTGAGAAGTTGACAAAACCAAGAAAAGTTCTTAATTTGCAAGTAATTTATGCATAATGTATGAGATATATGAATATGCATCAGGCCATTGCTTTTAAGGTTTTTCCTTTGTTCACAAAGCATGCTTTTCATGACTTAGTGTCCGAGAGCATCCGGACGTCGTAATTCTTTGCTTTTTATTGTCTTGTAATTGTCCTAACTCTAAATTTTATTACTCTGATTGTATTTCTATAATAATTTTATCGTTATTAAACTTTTAAACATTTTAAACCCCAAGTGATTGGCGTTTTTCACCCCGCTGTCCCCGCACCGCGCCCCGAGCCCGGCCGGCGCAGGAGCCCCCGCATCCCCACGCACCGATCCTGGGTCCCGGCGGGTCGGCGCACACCAGGTACCGGACGGCGCTGGGCAGCTGCTCCCGCCGCAGCTTCTCCGCCAGCTGCTCCCGGAACGCGCCCGCCTGCGCCGCGTCCGCCGCCGTCAGCACCACCGCGTCCCACAGCTCGCCGGGCCGGGCGGCCGCGCCTGGGGGGAACGGCACGGCTCAGCCCGGCGGGACACAGCCAGGCACCGCGGGACACGGCCCGGCCCCGCGGGACACGGCCCGGCCCCGCTCAGCCTGCGGGGACACGGCCCGGCCCCGCTCAGCCTGCGGGGGACACGGCCCGGCCCGGCCCGGCCCCGCGGGCCGCACCAACCCCGCCGCCCCGCCGCACCTCGCAGCGCCTCGAAGCGCTCCAGCCGCCGGGCCGTGTCCCCCCGCCGGGCCGTGTCCTCCCGCCGGGCCGTGTCCTCCCGCCGGGCCGTGTCCCCCCGCCGGGCCGTGTCCTCCCGCCGGGCCGTGTCCCCCCGCCGGGCCGTGTCCTCCCGCCGGGCCGTGTCCTCCCGCCGGGCCGTGTCCCCCCGCAGGGCCGCGCCGCGCTCCCCCATGCCCGGCCGAGCGCCGGGCCCGGAAGCGGCCGCGGGGCGGGCGGAGCCCTCGGCAGCGCCCGGGCGGGCTCCGGGAGGCTCCGGGGCGGGTGCCCGGCTGGTAAATCCGGTGAGGGGCAGAGTCTGAATGGCGCCTGAGCTCATCCGTTCTCGTCTGCCCGCCCTTGCCGCCCCGCTGCTGCTCTCCGGGCGGCGGAGCAGCGCTGGGAGCGGGGAACGGCACCCAGCGGCTGCTAGCGCCTGTTTTCTCCGATAGCGATTGGCAGGAGTCACGCCGCTGAGCGCTTTTCCAGCTGAAGGCTTTTCCAGCCGAAAGCTTTTCGCTCTGCGGTTCCTTGCCTTGGATATTATGGGTTTTGATCTGCGGGTTCTGTTTGTATTCAGAGTCTGTTGAGATTACCGATACCAAATGCAGTCAGACGGGAATGAAAGAAGGCATTCCTGTGATAAGATCTTATTATGCACAAATCTTACAATAAAAAGTAGCTGTAAAAGCACAATAGGAGGTACTGAGGAAAAAAAAAAGAATTTATGAAGTGAAAAAAATGTATAATAAATCCATAGTTTTTTGTGATTGTAAACTGCTGACAGAAGGTTAAAGAAAAAAAAAATGCTTCACTGTGCTTCCTCAGTGTGAGGCTGTGATGCAGGTAATAACAGTCTAATCAGAGCAATGCACACCAGAAAGATCCATTTGATCCTTCCTTGTGCTCTCGACTCACACTGTTAAGGACGATGGTCTCTTCTGTTGGAACTGCACCTCTGCTCTTCTTTGGTACTGGGTTCTCACTGCTGACAGCAGTGCTGCCAGCAGTGCTGCCCAGCAGTCCCGGGGGTCCCGGGAGTCCTTTTTCTGCTCAGAGCCCAGGTTCTCCAGGCCCTGCATACCTGTGGCCCCTTACCGGGCTCTGCAGTGTCTCTGTTCTCGTACTGGGGACAGACCCAGCAGCCCCAGCACACGGCCCGCTCCACGTGCTGGCAGTGCACCTCCCAGTGCAGCCCCCACAGTGCTGGCACCTCACTTGTGTTGTGATTACAGGGCACAACCCAGGCTAAATTCATCACTGAGCAGATATCCCTTCACTCGCTGCTGTACTGGAGTAATGCAGTAATAAAACGAGCACAGGTATTTGTTTGTCAGCACACTTACTACACCAAATTCCATCAAACTGTGTGAGGAAGAGGTTTCCCTCATCTGTGGTGTGAGCTATGATGCCAGTGGAAGAGTCCCTCCAACACCTCAGATGGAAAATGCACGAGCCCATAATATCTATGGCAGTGCTGAGATTTCATATAATTTTGTAATCTAAACTCTTGCAGAGGCACAGTAAGAAATTACTTGTTCTCAGCAGCGATAGACCTGTAACACCAGACCCTGCTCAACTTTGCCTGGCTCCAATAGCAACGAAAAATAACTACTAAAATAAAGTCTCTGATTTAGCTCAGATTTCCTATAATCCCACCCAGAGCAGTAAATATCTGGTATTTCAAGTTGAATTAAATGTTGATAAGTGAATCTGAGCTCTTACTGGTCGTTTTTCTTAGAATTAGATTTCAAATGCTGCATAAAAATGGGAGGAAATGCCTACATGGTTCAGGTGGCAAAACCAAAGAGGTGCAGTGCTGGGTTGTGCCGTGCAGGAAGAATTTCTTCGCTGAACGGGGGGTCAGGCCTTGGGACTGCCTGGGGGGGTTTGGACTGCCCATCCCCAGAGGTGGCACTCAGAGCCTGGGCTGGGGACAGGGTGGGCAGCGGGCACAGCTGGCACTCGGTGATCCCGGAGGTGTTTTCCAGCCCCACAGATCCTGTGACTCCGTGCCCAGGCTCTGCAGAGCGTGGCCCTGCTCTGTTCCCACGGATGAGTTCTCCCCTCTACCCCCACGCCTGGCACAGCCGTTGTTCCTGGCTGCCAATGCTCATTAGTGCTGTCTCTACTTGATTAGTTTCCCAGTTCTCACACATGCAGTTACTTATGGTTTGGGTTTACTTTGCATAAATTATCTGTGTGTCTGTGTCACAGTGGAAATGTCCTCACTGCATGCTGGTGGCCAGGTCAGCTCTTGGAAAAATAAATTACATGTGTTGTTATTTGTATACTACTGTATATTAGTATAAATATTGTTACACTGGTGGTATTATAACAAAAGGGGATACAATCCACTAAATAACTTTTCCCTCCCTAAATTAGTCTTTCTGGGTAGAAGAAAGTATTTTTTGAGCAACACATAATTTGATAAAAAAGCTTCCACAAAAATAGAAGTGAAACATTTTATAAACATTTTATGAAAGTCATATATAAGAAAAATGTTAAATATTTTCTAGGCACATCAGCTGTGTCTATGCTGGGCTCAGATACCTGTCAAAGGAAATATCTGCAATTTATTGGAGACAAAGCAATTGAAATGCTTAGCAGAAGATAAATGATCTTTTTAGCTGGAGTATAGAGTCCATAATTACAGTTGGAAACAGATTAGGAAAAATAGCATTCCATCATTTCTCCTGTTTGACATTTGCAGAAGTTCAGGGTATTGTTTTAATATTTAAACAGCCCATCTCAGGAATGTTTTCAATGTTTGATTTGGTTGAGCACTTCCCTGACACCCTTCATCATTCACCTAGATTATTTTTGTAGGCATACATACAATATTTTAAGATTCTGTCTTTTTATCTGCTGTGTGTTTGTACCCGGACAGTTTGTTAAACTGCTAATGAGTCCCACGGGGCACTATGTTAGAATTAAACAGACATTGATACCTGCTAGAAATAAATTTTAAAAGCCCAGACAAAAAACTCTCTCTCCCTAGATACAAACAGTCTGAAGCTGAGCTGTGCTGTCACTTTATGGGTTGGGTGGTGGGCTGCCTTCCCCCTTCCTTGGGGTGGGCAAGCTGGCACCTTTCTGGCACTGCAGGGCTGCTGGAGCACTGTGCCCAGCTCTGGGATCCCAGCACAGGGAGGCCCTGGAGCTGCTGCAGGGCTGGAGCCCCTCTGGAGCCAGGCTGGGAGAGCTGGGAATGCCCAGCCTGGAGAGGAGAAGGCTCCAGGGAGAGCTCAGAGCCCCTGGCAGTCTCTAAAGGAACGTAGGAAAAGCAGGAGAGTGACCTTTTACACTGGCAGATAGTGATAGTACACGGGGGAATGGTTTTACACTGAAGAGGAGAGATTTGGATTGGAGATTAGGGATAAATTCTTCCCCGGCAGGGTGGGCAGCCCTGGCACAGGTGCCCAGAGCAGCTGGGGCTGCCCCTGGATCCCTGGCAGGATCCCGGCAGTGCCCAGGGCCAGACTGGAGCAGCCTGCGACAGTGGGAAGTGTCCCCGCCAGGGCAGTAGAAGGGAGTGGATGAACTTTAAGGACCTTCCCAACCCAAACCTGTCTGTGATTCTGTGAACTATAGGGAAGTAAAATCAATTGCCTCTCAAGGTTTTTTGCGAAAAACACTTAGCTGTTGGTAGATTAGGTTGTACTGTCCAGGAGATGGCAGCATACATTCAGTCTTTTTTCAAAAAACCAACCCAACCCCACCACAGAAAATTCTTCAAAAAGTATGGAGGAAATGCTTGCAGAAGTCCAATGTATTATCCTTACAATGTTGTGTACAAGTTTCTGTTTTTGATATAATCACCAAATATTTGACAACTATTGCTCCTAGTGTAAATCAGTCTTTGAGAAATGTCTGGTGAGAAGCAGAGTGGAGGAGTTCAGTAGAAAGACTCCAGTGGAGTGTTCAGTGAGTGGGAGAAAGTGTCTGTTTCTGACTGTAGTGTGTTTTTTGGGCCTGAAACACGACAGAGCAAGATGGGGCTGGGGCTGGTTTGTTCTGACAGAGAACATGAGGTCCTGTAATCCTGGCTTTACACTAAAAATGATGATACTTTTAGTAGGATTGATGGGATTGGATCCAAGTTCCCTGATGGCAAATGTACCTGAGAAATGTTTAGTTTTTTTGTTTTGGTGGGTTTTTTTTTCCTTGTTTGTTTGTTTTTAAATGTTTGGGATTGTTCTTTGCTATGTAAGCCACCTGAGGATCTCCCCTTGGGTTGCCGTGGTGAGGGTGGTGGCCTGATGCTGCAGTTCAGCCCCAGGACCCACCTTGGTCCCAGCCTGGGGGCATCTGAGCAGGGCTGACTCCTGGCACCCACTGAGGTCTGACCTTGTAGCTTTCTACTTGTATGGAAATGAGGGGTTCGTAGAAAAACTGGCTTTGCATTCTCCAGGTGCTCCCTGAACAGTGACACTGATGCAGGAAGACAGAAATGATTATTTTGTACTGCTCCTGGCAGCAGTATCAATATTCTTATTTTCTCTTAATTCCCAGTACTTTCCCATTTCAATACTGCACTGTTTTTCCTTTAATACATCGCTTTTGTTTCTATTGCACTTATTCGTTATAAATATATTATTGTCTATTTGGTTGCACAAATGTCTTTTGGGAACATTTTCTTCAAAGGTAGAGAAGGAAACAGAGAAAGAAGAGAGGTTTTCTTCTGCTTTTGGGACTGGCCAGTGCGCCTGGTCAGCCAGGGAGGCAACTCCACTGGAGCCTGTGTGCTGTGTCCTGTGTGGGACGGATAAGCCCAGGGCTCGCTGAGCTCTTCTGGAGCAATTTCTCTAAAGCATTAGGCACAAACTGTCTCTCTTTCTTTCTTTCTTTCTTTCTTTCAAAGTCAGGCATGTCTGTCTCATCCTAATTATGTGTTTTCCCCTCTAACCCATTTTTGTTCAAGCTGTTGCCATGGGCAATTGTGACAATGTTCTTCCATTGCTACTATATAGAGGGGATCTGCTATAATTATTGCTTTAACTGAGTTTTTAATAATTTAAAATGTTGGAACATATATTGATCAAATGTGCTGATTTTGGGCCAGGCTGAAATGTGCCTTCTGTCTCCTGGTCATCCTGCTGTCAGGAGTGTGCAGGGCAGGCTCCAGGGGTGCAGGCAGAAGAGAAGGCACAAGGCAAAGTGCTGTTCATTTCAAACTTCTTGCTGTATTTCCCATTTATTTGAAAAACAATTAATCTTGACTCTTGCGTGACCAACAGAGGAGATCAGGTCTGTGTCAGTGGGCAGACATGTGGGAACACTTCCACAGCTTCTAGCTTTCCCTTTAAAAGTAGAAAAAAGTAGAGAGAATTACAAATAATTGTCTCTTTTTCCATCCCTGTCTTTAATAAAAGTATAACAAAGCTGTGTCAAAATGAGTAAGTAACTGTTAGATGTATAATTAAACCTCCCTGTGTAATCTGGGGCGCTGCAAGATCGAATAAACCATGAGTTTCCCTTCTGGATACATGACCTTACTGAAAGCTCTCAATGTTTTTACCAAGAAAGACAGAAAGATGTGGGTTTTTGAAGAATGGGGAAGTTATAGACTACAAAGCTGCCT